TTATACATCAATAGTTTAGAGAATACATGACGAAGCGAATACTCTGAAACGCATTACAAACGTTTTGCCTAAATCAAAGCAAAAGTATCCTATTATGTCTTTAAAAATGACAGAGAATTTCGCATGCCAGCTTTACGACTTTGTTCCATTGCCTAATTTTGGAATGTATAAAGTAAAGTCCATAGTTTGTCGGGGTTACGGAAGTGTGGGGGTGTAGGAAATCTCGTATTTCATCCAGCATTGGAGAATACGTTCGAGAAACGTTGAACATTATCATCCAGTAGGTCCTATAAGACCAGGGATGGGGGCGTTGGAACTGTGGGGGTGTAGGAAATCTAGTATTTCTCGAACGTATTCTCCGACGCCGGGTGTCTATTCATTTTGTATTTTATAATCTAGGCTATATAGTCACTTTTTATAGAGGTAATAGGTAACAGATTAATCATTTGTCATTTGGTTTTATTATCTTATCAATTGTCTCCGAAAGTCAACCGAACGATCGGAGAGTATCAATCATCCACGGAACACCGACGTCTAAAAGACGTTTGAATATCGTCTAAACGTTCGAGAATCGTTTTACTTTTATGAAACTGTATCAGTCGTATTTGACCAATCAGAGCATCTCATCCGAAAAAATTCACACTGACCTCACTCCGGAAGTCAAGCGACCAATCAGTCATCCACGGAAGTCAAACGTTCGGGAAACGTTAGGGAATCCCGTATTACGTTCGGGTACGATCGAGAAACGTTGGGGAATCCCATATTTTATCAGATTTCATCATCGGGTCCTATAGGACGGAACCATGAAATACGCACACTATACTACTGATGTCCATGCCAACTGACGTGAGCTTGATATAAAGAATTATTAACAGTGCTATATTAACCACAACCTTGAGTATACATGTATAGAGAGTAGAGATGGGTAAACTAATATAATACACCCAACACAACATAACACGACACAACATAACATATACAACATAACACTAATATACCAAACACAACAAACTAAAAACACAACATAACAAGATACAATTGATAATATGATGTTACATAATTTTAAACAAGATTTGGTTCTGAAGCAGTATCATCGATATAAACATAAAATTGCATCCCTCTAATACTTTGGTGTTTTTTTTACCTCGGATGAATGACTCAGAATGTACCTACGGTCTCGACTAGAGGCAAGTGGCGATATACATGTGCGTGTGTTCTAGTTCCACAGACAAAGCAGTTATGATCGTTCAGTTATTGATTTGTTTAATGCATGCAGTCAACAATCTGGATTTTGACCTTTATTCACAAATAATTCATGAGACTGCTTTGTTTGTATGATTTTATATAACAATAACTGCTACTAGAATAAGCAATTTGACATGTAAAAACGGTTAGAACATGGTATTGAAAACCAAAGATGAGGAACTTAGCCTTAAGTTTTACTTTTGACAAAAAATACCTCCAAAGGACAAACCAACCTGGTTCTGTGTTTAACGATATCATATATATATACATATCATATCGCATTGCACATTAGTTTTTTCAATACTGTATAACACATTAAATCTGCGCATTAAATTTTTGCGTTTTTCATTTACATCATTAATTTGCGTCATTTTAATTTTGCGTTTTGTGCCCATCGCGAATTATGCATGTATCCATTTAAATGAGATTCCCCCGGTGATTGTTTGACCACATATTTGACTCGGCCAATAAAGAATTAATTCTATGAATATCGCTTTGTTTATAATAAGGTTAATCGCCGCGAGTAAGATTACGTGACGTCATTGACTGATTTGAGACCTGACACGCTAAGCTCAAACTGCCAAACAAACTAATTACCCTGAATACCGACGCTTACCTTTGTTTTTTGTGTTTTACTGATCCATTATATCCCATAAGTTTCTTCAATACAAGTATGCAATCAAATGGAAGGTGAATGTTGGTGTATTTAAAAGTTATAATTTTATTCAGTCTAGAAACGGTCAAGAAATGGCGACGACTTCAGGGGAAAAGCTACAACGTCGCCAATAATTTTCTGCTCAAAAAAACTTAAGCGGGACTTGTTAATTGTTATATAAAAATATGTTAGAATCGATTAATCGATTTATCAATTAATATTTTACGATAATCGATTAAGAAATGTACCACGGGTGCACACCACTAGTTCTCATGGATACTTGGGAATCCTGCATGACTGATACTTGGATTCTAATTGACTTCAGAATAGTACGCCGATCAAACTGCAAATCTATGGAGGAAATCACTGATGATTTATCGTAAGTTTGATCTGGACGTTTGACTTGTTTTTACATGTTTTAAACAACAATAACAACAACAATAGTTTTTTTTATGGTATGATGTTTTATTTTACAATATGAAGCAATAAACACGATGATTATAAACATATTTGTTTTATTTCCTGGTTTGCAAACATCAATACATTCAAGGTTGACTGTTTACAAAAATAACCCTATGGTAAACTTTGGAAATGGCGCCATCACATTTAGCAATTTTCATTTTATGGCTTAGTAGCCTACATATTTATTTCGCTACACGATGAATTTGCGAATACATACCCTCGCGAATTTACGCAAATTCATCATGCACGCGAATACATTGTGTTATACCAATACAATTCAAATACTTCATGATTATATCAAGAACCTGTGCCATTACATGCCTATATTTATCCTATACTTTCTGACCTACTTGTTTATGTAAATTGATAATCATGATCAATTATGTAGACATGTATCAATTGGAAGTAAAAAAGGAAACCAATGTGAGAGATCGATTGTCTGAGATCGATTGAACATTGCATACACCGTTGTGTAATGAGATTATTGCTCATATAAGCATATAGTGAATAAAGTAGTGGAATACTTTGAATATTCTATTTCCGAGGTAGTATTGACGCTAGGAACCAACATGATAAGGTGCTCAATGGTCCATTTATATGAGCAACAACAGTGTACACATCAGATCTGTTCTATCAACTTGCGTCAGTATCGAAGTCAAAAATCATAAAACGTACAAAATGGTATACCTCTTACTTTCCTACTTATTGTTTTTTTCGCTGGACAAACCAAAGTATTGGAATCAAATGGTGCACCATGCACAAAGTACGACGACAGACTCGAAAAGTTTATCAAAGTCACTCAAAACTATAATCAAATATTAATCAAGCATTTTGCATTGATCAATAACCAGGGAATTTTTAATTCGAGAGTTATTGTGAAATTAATTCTGAATTCACACAAGGATGGGCGTGGTATATCAAAGTGAAACCAATCAGAAGACAATATTTAGAATAATTTACATTATATATATTACAACAGTGTGAAATTGATAACCCTTATCAAATTTTCAATTCCAAGTAAGCAATTGAGTCGAAAAAATATCAGAAGTATCACGATGAATATCAAAGTAGGTCAAAATGTCAAAAGCTACGTAACTTTGCTAAACCATTGCAAAAGGTTTTAGGTTGAATTTTGTTCTCTTTTTGATACTGTACAAAATCTTTCGCACTGTGTGAAAGAAATTTAACATTTGTGTTTATGATCATCCACAATTCATTGAGTCCTGTGGTTGAATCCTTTACTTGGCCTCTAGGAAGACCAGTTCTGTGCTGAAAGAGCTACCCAGAATCAATATAGTTTTCAAATCAAATCAAACAAAAACTTTAATTTTTTATTAAGTGGCCTGTCACATTGAATTTGAATTCAGTGGATTGATTTGCATGCATGAAGGGAGTTCTCTTTACAATATTTTGCAAAATATATGTTTGTTTTCAAAATATTTTTACAAATTATATTTTAGAGTGCTTATTTACTATTCATGAAGACATTCTGGTAGGTTATCATCCCAAATATTCAAAATAGAAAATAAACGCTAGTTATTACACGTGTTGTTGTGAATGTTGCACAGTGAATGTTGAAAAAATAATTAGCTCGGTGGTTGACTTGTACTCCTAAAATTCAGTACAATTAAAGATTCTGCATAATTTTTAATATGCTTACTTTGTATTGGAATCTTGCGTAGAATCTTAAGAGGGATAAAGATCCTGGGATCGATGCTAATTAAGGTTATACATTCCTTTACCAACTTATCCGTCTTTGGAAGCATCTCATTTTAACCGAAACAAACACAAAAAATGTTTGTAAAATTCAGTCGAAACTTTAGACTTTCAGCTATCAGAGTTTTAGAATGCATCAATCAAACAACCAATCAGCCAATCATAAATTCATCAATCAACCAATTATATAGTTTAAAAACGGTTGCTTAAATCAAAGAACATGACCTGAAAATGAGACAATCAAATATCAACCAATCAATTGCATTAATCATTCATCAGAGATATACTAAGAGCAATACTAATGAAAATAAAACAATCAACTCTGAACTTTGCACTAAATGGACTGACACAAAGGCCCAAATTGTATTGGATCGATTATCGATTTGGATGTATGAAGAGTTCCCTTCAGGTTTACAATGGTTTGCGGGAGTATTCAACGTTTCATAAAACTTCAAATTTAAAACATTACGAATATATGACTTTTTTAAAAACTTTTTGGGAAAGTCTGGCTGGTTATTATTCAAAGTAATAATAAAATTAAAGTTACACGCCAATTTGTGTAATTGTGATATGGCGCATTTTGCTCGGTAAATGTTGATGAAAAAATAATTACTTTTCGATCGTGATCTATATATTCATAATATAAAATATTAAAAATATTCATAATACATATTTAAAGTTACACACCAATTTGTGTTGTGATATTGTCTATTTTGCCCAGTGAATGTTAATGCTCAGTGAATGTTAATGTTCAGTGAATGTTAATGCTCAGTGATTGTTAATGACTTTTCGTGATCTGTCGGTTATTATTTTCATATAAATTTACACGTCAATTTTTGTTATTGTAATAGTGCACATTTTGCTCGGTGAAAAATAGTGACTAATCGTGATTTGTGACATTATAACTTTAATAATTAATTACCTGGGCAGTTGACTTGTGCTCCTAAAATTTAGTGCAAAAAATGAACTTTGTAAAATCTTTAAATAATGTGTACCATAGTCTTATTCGTAATACACTTTACAAATTACAATTTATTTATGCTAATCTAGAGAGACTAGTATATTTCTCTAGACTACCGATTGGACTGCCCGTTGAAGTATGTTAATGTTTGAATCATCATCAATTACAATTCAACATAGCTCGGACGAATCGTCAACTCATTAAGTCGTCGAAAATGAACAGGTTTAACACACAAGAAGGAAACTTTGGTAGTCAGACCTTGGAGGTTCGTGTTTGGGGAATCTAAAAATTATGAATCTACGAGGAAATATACAATTGCACATTTTAGAATTTTATAAACTCAACACTTGCCTGACAAATTCTAACCACAATATATATCATCATGTTAATGAAAACGTATTTTATGTTAATTGAATTATGATATTGTTGTCTTTTCGTAATCTTACCGATCCAGTGATCCCGTCTGTGGCAATCCAAGCCCATCCAGCTCCCGTCATGTTTGCTTCTTTGGCTTGTTGAAGGACAACCTTGGCGTGGGACAACCCACAGTTCAGGAGGATGATTCGTACACCTACAAAGTATACATTAATCAACATTTCAAGAAAGGGAGAGATTTTTTGATACATTGTGTGGTGACAAAATGCAGCCATTTAATTTTGAAAAAAATTATGATGAAATCTGCTTGGTCGTTTTTTCCGTATATACCAGTGGCACATCTGTTAGCTCTTCAAATAAGAGCAACAATGTATCGAGAAAACTAGGTAAAGGGCAGTAATTTCCGATACTAGGCAGATGAAAGGTCCTTGGATGAAGTATGCGGATTCTGAACCTCGAGTAGTGTGTCCGGGGAAGAATGAAGGTGGAGATAGAAGCCTGGGATAGAGCGTTATACGATTCCAAGTGTTTGATAATTGGAACAGATATTATATTGGGTTATATTCTTGTATCATATGTATTCCTTTTCCAAGTGTATGAAGATATTCTTGTATCATATGTATACCTTTTCCGAGTGTTTGAAGATATTATATTGGGTTTATTCTTGTATCGTGGTACATGCTCTATTTGTTAATAACTAATCTATGAGCACTTTAAGTCTGTTATATCTTAATTTATTTAAATATGTTATCGGGCTTTATTCTTGCATCAAATGTATATGCCTTTGGTATAATGTTATATGTGATAAATAATGCACATCAATCATTTTCACATTGTCAATTAGTTAATCACTAATATAAAAGCACTTTCAGTCTGTTATATTTTAATCTTGATATATCTGCTTGCTCTACTGCTTTTATGTTGACGTTAAATGCCATGAAAGCCGAAATCTATATTCAAGGCAAATATAAAAAACGATGTCCGACCGTCTCCTAAATACGCATTCTGATACTCATGGCATTTTTCTGTTTCACCTGAAACATGCTCTGTGATCTGAGCACATCAGATGGGAACATAATGATGAAAACTGTAAATAAGTGTGATGGTTATCATATATTCATCTACCTTAATGTCAATACATTACATAATAGGCATTTGTATTTAACAGCAGATATTAGAACAGGCACAGGAACACAAGTTTTATGACCCCAATTAGATGAGATATGAGCTGGGATGAAAGATCTCAAAAATCCCCAATTTTGGGCTCTCCTGGATCGCCAAATCAAGCTCATTATATCATGGCATCTCAGGGCTGAGAAGAAATGAGATGTCATGTTTTATCATGATGTAAATACGGGATATTATAGAATATTGTCCATTACACCCTACTGCATATATACTTTACCTGTCTCTTTGATTACATTGAGTTCATGAGTGGCGTTAAGTGTGACATCATTGGTGACCACAAACTGTTGTACACTGACAACCTTCCAACCTCTCTTGGCAGCCTCGGATTGAAATTGCAACAGTCCATGAATTCCTGAAATAGAGAACAAAATTCATATGATATCAAAACACAAGTGTATTTACACTAATATCAAGGCATCTAACATGCAAAATGTCACCACCTGCCATTTGTTACAGACGCCGACTGACAAACACCAAACGCCGAACACCAATTGACGAACACCAATCGCCAGACGCCGTCCACAAAAAGTCGGAGACTATTAAAAATACACCACAAGTTGTGGTGACATAAAAAATAGAGTCTGTGTTCTAATATAGACACTTGTGTTTACATATGAGATAGAAAAGAAGTAGTTTACGTATCCCTAGTATCTTGAACAATGTTAATGTCTAACTTTGCTTTTGAGTTGGGTTCGCACTTACCATAGTCAGTGTTAGATGTAAGAATAGCTACTTGTTCCCAACCAAAGTGATGTACAAGGCTTACAATGGCCTGACTCTGGACAGAATCCGGAGCTGACAGACGTACTAAGTATGGAAAATTATCTTCACTTGCTGAAAAGTTATCAAAACAATTCATAAATGATATCATATATTATATGTAATGCCTGGGTCACATTTACTCCGATCCATCGGCCGGCGTCCGGCCGATTGAGTGTTTTGTTTGGGGGCCGTAGTGAAAATCGGAGTAAATGTGACCAAGGCATAATAAGACAAATTCGAATACATATAGAGGATATCCTATGATTTATGAGTGATATGATTTTCTTTTAATTCCACAGTTAAAGTCATCATCAGAATCGTCAGAAATTAAGTGATTTAATTTGAATTTTCCAAACGATCTGGCGATGTTGACACTTAGCCTCGTTTTGAGTCTGAAGTAGCAAAAAGCCATAATTCATATAGCATACGGCGCCGTATGTCATGGCTTAAACACCGTATGCTATGGTTAAGTGAAAAGTTATCAAAAATATCATATTTTACCACTGATTACAAAAATACCGTTTTTATTTTTACATGTTACCCATGAATATCACGCTAACTGTGGAATACATTTTGATACTCGTCGCATCTCTTTTTATAATGGACCTCAAATTTAAATTCATATTTTTGTAGATGATTTCATTATGCGATGCATTTGATTTATGAGATGAATGTTCCAAATTGCGTATTCTATCGTATTGTCCTAACATCAAATTAGCAAAATGATAGATTATATAGATATTTTAATCACCATAAATAGGTTATAATTAGCTTCAGATTGCTCGGGAAATATTCATCAGAACGTAGCACTAAAGAATATTTTTCTAACCAACAGTTTCTCATAAGGGGCATTCCTAAACGACTTTAATTAGTGAACCTTGCATTGGATAAAAAAAACAAGGCTAATTGAGTTTTGCCATTTTGAATATAACATGTGCTAATTTCCTATGAATGAACATCTGAAAAAATCTAATTATTGGTAAATTTCAATGTATCAATAGGCATATTGACTATACGACTGAATAAATATACGTTCGTCTCTTACTAAATGATCTGAATATGTTTATGTTGTTGTTTTTCTCACCAGATAGAATGGACACAGAATATATAGCCAAATATAATTAAATTTCCAAAGACTGAGGAAGATGCCCTTTAACTATGTACACATTATACAGGTATAAAAGTCTTGTTTTGGGTAAATTGAGAAATTATTTGAAATGTGTAAGCTTAATGTCAGTTTCAATGTTTGAATAAAGGCCTAATATGTCGCATTTTCATTATCTCCGTATTGGTCGCGATCGTACTGGTTACACCATCACGATATGCCACTTATATTTCTTTTTACCGCTTACCCTTGCTTCGTACAATCATCCTAAAATATACACAAAGACTTATACAGCATATGCAACGTTATAGACAATCAATATAATACAATTTTTATTTAATTGATAATCGAATTATTATTCAATTCTATTTGTTTGTTTTAACTATAATTACGTTTTTCGTTTACATTTTTATGGTGATGTAAATTAGTAAGAGAAACCTATCCTAGACTATTTAATATCGGAAATATCGAACTATGTACATTCGAGATACTCTTGAAATATGTATTTAAACAGTTCATTGATTATCAATAAGAAGTACTTAACAAGGTGACGTGTAATTATTGCAAAATAAGGAAGTATATACGTACATGCTTTGGTTAAGAAAATTCAAAATCTGTGTTGTTATGTGAAGATGAATGGCGATCGATTGTTTTTTAGTTCTCAAAAATCATTTTTTGTCCGAGTAAGTAAAAAACACATTAAAATTCCTTTCGAATTAGCGCAGTCCATTGTGCTTGTTGTAAATAGGCGGAGAACCTGTTAAATTCAGGACAATTGACCACTTTTGTAGGCTAGAAAGCTATTTTACTTTTATCATTTAGAAAGCTGTAAACCAGTTAACAAAGTGGATTGATTACCATTAGTCTTGAGCAAATACTTTAAAACATAAAAAATATGGTAAACACTGAAAGCTTAAAAAATCGCAAAGAAATTCTATTCAAATTTGCAACATGTGTGATTAAGTACAAACTATGACATACTGTAAATCTACTTACAATATGTCAAGTTACTTTCAAATCTATGATTATCATTAGAATATTGTATTAGAAATTCTTTGAACGGGTGGTGCGTAATTATCCTAGTATTGTCTGAGTACACTTGTATATTGATCAGATTTTATGTTTCCTAAAGTGAATAAAAGACATGATGTTTTTTGTTTGATTTTCCCTAGGGGTCTTTATTTCCGCGTGCGCTAATTGATGTCAATAAGGCAGTCTTTAGAACCTAAACTATATCAATGTTTCTGTAATATATTTGATTGGCCTGGTACCCTTTGGCACATACCCTTGTATATATATTTATTCTTCCTCTATATGGCATACTACTTAGTATATTCTACAAATCACATGTATTCTTTCAGTCATTCACTGGTATATTTAGTCATATGTTTGTATAATTCATAACGTGGTGTTCAATGAATCTATCGAGAAACGACATAACAATACGAAACTCTCACCTCACCCATTAGAAAGCGAATTGTATGCTACTGCCCACTTATCATTAAATGCTGCTCAATAATTATACTAAGTAGTGAACCTATTAATTGAATATACGTATACTCCCCTCCATTAGGGTGGCTCAAAATAATTTCTTTTTTGGAAATGTTATGCTCCCTACGTGAATCGAGTTGCATTTTGGGGTAAATATCACCTGTGATTTTTTTCAAATTTTTTAGTCAACTTTTAGGGGTCCCCCACAGCCTTTGAAGTTTGCCCATAGGCTTAACATTAGTGGGCGTCGCCCAAAATCGTACTTTGTAGAAGTTTTCTTCTACAGTGCTTAACTTATGTTGTTTGAAGAAAAACAACATTGTATATGATATGATTAGATGTTTAAATCATCATATTACTCTGTTTCATCATGTGAACTTATATAAAAGGTTATACTGACAATGTCCTATTTACAAAATATCATGCAATGGCAAAGGGAAGTATGCATTGTAATTGGCAACGAGATGCATTTATGTGATATCATATTTTATTGTTTTAACCGTTTCAACAAGTACGACAGAAGTCAGAATGATGTTTTAAATATGGCCCACTTCTCAACGAGGGAAGCATCGACCTTGGGGAAGATGTCCGCCTGAGTGGAGAAGATGGGCCATGAATTCAGCGTACCTTGTGTCGACATCCAAATCTTATATTATATTTTATATTTTTATATTCATTATATTTTTGTCAGACAATATTATTAATTATCTCCAATAATGGAGGGAAAATAAATATAATAATAATAATAATCAGGTACATTCGACCAGTATAATTATTTGAACAAGTACAGTTTTAGAGAATCATGTCTCATATATGATTTGGTATTGTCATTATAATGATTTAAACTTGAAAAGGTATATTCATTCTTGACATTTAATGTTTTAAAAATGGTTCAGATCAGATTTTCTTATATGTGACACTCTTCCTCTATGATCTGAGCATACAACACATACATTGTCATGATGCGCCGCGTCACAGGTCATTTTAGAGCATTCCTGTACCAGCTTCACTGCTCGTTCAGCTGGATCATTAACAGAATGCAGGTCTTGACAGAAATTCTGGGTTTGAACATAAGTTGCTCTGAGCGTACAAAACATACATTGTCACGATAAGAGCCAAGATATCTCAGTTACAAACATTGGTAGTGATGGTTTATCATTGCCTAAGTGAGCAGCAACTGGGTTGAAGTCAGACTGGCCTGGTTTGCCAGTTGCAAATTGTACAGGCTGTTGAGCAGTGCTGTAGCAAGCTCCTGCTTCTCCTCTCTTGCTCTGTCTTACACTGCAAAGAGCTGCGACCAACCTGGAGCCTACCACCATGCCAGGTTCATGGGGAAGAGTCTCTACCTCTTGAAGATATTCATGCTCAGCCACTTATTTGTCCAGCTTACTCCACAGTAACTGCAGATGATAACATGACTTGTGGGATTTGTGGTCCGTCTCTACGGATGGTATTTCCTTAGTGCCCACTTGACAACCGCAGCTCCTCTTCACGGTCTCAAGTTCTGGTATCATCTGCAGGAATGTCTCAAATGACCCGTGACACGGCGCATCGTAACAATGTATGTGTTGTACGCTCAGATCATAGAGGTAGAGTGTCACATATAAGAAAATCTGATCTGAACCATGTTTAAAACATTAAATGTCAAGAATGAATATACCTTTTACAGCTAGTTTAAACCATTATAATGACAATACCAAATCATATATGAGACATGATTCTCTTAAACTGTACTTGTTCAAATAATTATACTGGTCGAATGTACCTAATATTTTGTTAATAGGATATTGTTAGTATAACCTTTTATGTAAGTTCACATGATGAAACAGAGTAATATGATGATTTTAACATCTAATCATATCATATACAATGTTGTTTTCTTCAAACAAACTATATAAATCACTCTTGAAGAAAACCTCTACAAAGGACGATTTTGGGCGACGCCCACTAATGTTAAGCCTATGGGCAAACTTCAAAGGCTGTGGGGGACCCCTAAAAGTTGACTAAAAAAATTGAAAAAAATCACAGGTGATATTTACCCCAAAATGCAACTCGATTCACATAGGGAGCATAACATTTCCAAAAAAAATTATTTTGAGCCACCCTACCCTCCATAAGTTTGGCAACCTTAGCTCCACCATTCAACTACGTGTTAAAGCCTCTTTACTTTTGAATTTTTATTTACTTAATTTGCGATGAAAATACTTACCAACAAACATGAGTTGTTATGTCAACTAGTTATATGTTTTTGCCTAACCCTGAGTGCCAAGGAAACCAGAATGATCCAGCTACATAAATGTAATTAATGTAATGTGTTTTAGGTAGTGAGAATGTAGTTTCAAATTCGACTTGCCAGTCATAGGCCACCCATTGGCCATCTAACCAATGATGTACCAGTACAGATTATGTTTCTAAAATATGGGGTATGGGCTAGGCCAGCTTCTACTTGGATTTTAATTGACTAGCTATGAGCTGATCCGTCAGCTATCAAAATTATTCACAAGCTTACTTACAACTTTTCAGTTGCCACCCATTCCCCACCACCTCCCACGGTTCTTAGCCCTAGTTGCAAAAATAACGTTACATAATGGTTATGTAATCCATTGTGTAAGATTATGTAATATTATATAATAGTAATAAAGATTATCATCATTATAATTTGCCAACAAACATGAGTTGATATGTCAACTAGTTATATATTTTTGCCTAACCCTGAGTGCCAAGGAAACCAGAATGATCCAGCTACATAGAAATACTTAAATACGATTAATTGAAACGTGATTTGACTTTATTTCCAATACCTTCAAATTTTCTCAATTTTTTCTTCAATTACAATAGGTCGAAAATTGATGATAAATTTGAAGAATTTTTGAGAATCGACATTCCCATTTTAACCAATGGAAAATGGTAGGTTTGCCGCAAGTCATATGACAGATTATCCATCACTCCGAGTCCTTGGAAAAATACAAGTTAGGTAGGCAATTGAATTTGCTAACTTTATTTAACAAAAAATGATACCCTTCTTCAGGATCAGCAAAGCTAAAGGTCTTTAAAGTCAAAATTATTTTTCAAAAAACCTCTCCCATTGAAATAACACAGGAGGCGAAAAATGATTTTCAAAAATGACTTTGAACCTCTGTAACTTTAGTATTCATCAAGTAAGCTAAACACTTAGTGTACAAAAATGTTAGACAATTCAGTTTTCTATATAAAAATATATTTAACTGAATAGATATCCTATTTCTGATTTGCCCCGAACCCACCATTTCCTGTTGGTTTACATGGGAATGACGATTTTCAAAAATTCATCAAATTTATTATCAATTTTTGACCTATTGTAATTGGGAAATTGGGAAATCTGAAGGCATTAGAAATAAAGTCAAGTTACGTTTCCATCAATATTATAAGTTATTTCATCGCAGGTTAAGTGAATAAAAATCCAAACGTAAAGAGGCTTTAACACGTAGTTCAATGGGGGAACTAAGGTTGCCAAACTTATGGAGGGGAGTTAAATAAATACAAGGTCAGGTATATATTAATGTATCCATTAATCTTATAATAAATCAGTCATTTCATCATGCATAATTCAGTGATGCGAATCATTGCTAAACATCTTGACTAAAGTTATAAGTGGAATTGATCAACAAAACGCTTGATGTAATTATTTTGGGTCAAAACAAGCCAAATACATGTTCCATTTTTTTCCAACTTTCCAATTTTCAATACTCATTTATCACAATATCTTTAGTTGTTGATATGAAAAGCTAATACTCAATTTATGGCCAATGCCGTGCCAGGTCCAGCTTAAAAAGATAATTAGAGGTAAATAATTGATTAAATCGCACAAAACTTCCCAATCGCCCAAAAAGGGCGTTTTATGCTAAGCAAAAGAACCCCCATGTTTTCCAATTCTAAACCGTCCAGAGAACGTTCGGCTAAACACCACGTATGTTACAGGTAAATCATAATTAGAATAGGTCAGAAATTTAAAACCCAATTAATTTGGCAAAAACAATCATAACATAAAGCATACAACGCGATTCAAGAGGGAATATCCAGATGGCAAATCTTAGGGGTAAATTCAGTTGTTTTTCTTATTTACTTACCTAACATAGGGTTTGTAGCAGTTGGTGCTATCTGGGGTATGTGTAGCGCTTCCGAGAGTGGAGACAATGCTTTATGTGCCCCTGAGCCTGCTAGCCCAATAAATGCCATTACTCCCAACTCACTCTGGTAGCAACCTGTGGGCAACAATTTCAAAATCAGGATGATTTAATAATGGGTGCTCTGTCGGTGTGTAGAGCTCTTGTAGGCTTTCTTTTGGAATGAAGTGGCTAAAAATTGGAGGTTTTCAAGTCGGCCGTCCTACTGTAAAATAAGTCAAGATAATAGATTGCATCACCATTTGGCGTTATTTCTCGGCGAAACGCTGAGAAATAACTTTCATTGAAATATTTAAACTCTTATATTAACTATAGTCATGAAACAGTTGTATTTTATTAACCCTGACGTAGCTTCAATGACACTTCATTATGTTTTATCGCAAACTGTTATTTGCATATTCACTTGGGAATAACGCAGTAAAATGAGCCATTCCTTTACGAAATTGTTGAGGACTTGTGGGACTACATAGTGTAAATGATGAATGAGACTGTCTTTTGTCATTTCTGATCAGGACTGCACAAAAAGGGAATGATATAGAAATAAGTCATTAAATTGAGATGAACATGCATGCCCCTTTCAAACGTACAAGCATGGAGCCATACATTATAACTTTCTAGTCGATTAAAACCCGTGCAGTGTGGCCATGCTATATCAAACAACTAAGCATGGTTAATTGGCCATGTGATTTCTAATACTACATGTCTAAGTATTATCATCATGATAAACCATGGAATCTCATTTCTTCTCCGTCCTGAGATGATGTTTTAGGTGAAACAGAAAGATGCTATGAGGATCAGAATGAAATATTAGAAACAATACCGAGGTTGGGCCCTCTGGGAATATGTAGAGATATTATTGCCCTAAAATTAGTTTATTGGCCCTCAATAATTTCAATTATTTATAGAGTATATAGGTTATCAATAGCCAGAAAGGTATATGAAAATCTCAGAAAATATATGAAAAAAGTAAAAACCTCGGTCAATGTGACATTTTTCTCAATCGATATGATGTTGTACATAGAAATTAAAATATGTTTTTTCTTAATAAAAAATCTGAAAAAATCCCGTATTCAATTATCGTATCAGTGAAAATCCCCCATCCAACAAAACTGGGCTATGGGCAATACACACTGCAAAAATCTTTGAATGATGTACATGTACTACCTGAGTGCATCTCTTAAAATAACATTGAAATCTACTCATATCCCCATAAAGAATAGATCACATTTTCCACAATTCTGTTAAAGCTGAGTAAATGAGATGGACGTCTCCTGATTATTAGTACTTTCATGAACATTTTGGATTATTTTTGAATCATTAGAGAATTGAAAATACTTAACAAAATAAATATAAGCACTATTTAATCAAATTAATGCCTCGCAGACGTCCATATTATTCTTATTTTGTATCATTCTTTATTCTGACACTTTAGTCAAATCGTGGGTGGGACAAATAGCTTCATTCTTTTGACCCTAATTCGCTCAACCATTCATACATTAAATGCCTTGTAATACTATCAATTTTGTTGTATGTGTTTAGGCGTCTTACAGTAATTACTACCTGTTGACTGTCAGTACATAAGCAGCCTTATGTACATAATTATAGCACAATATTTATCTTAACTAAGAATCGATCCTTGGGGAACCTGGTACTAAAATACGAACCAGAGGAACTATCACTTCAGATGGTCGATGTTTCATAATTGTATTCATACTTTACTCATATGTGTGAAGGACATATTGATGGTTGGTCAATAGTGGGGTGGGCCCATTCTGATTTATCAGAGTCCCTCTTTACCTAACGCTTTTGAGAGAACTGAACTATTCCAAAAGGATAGTAAAGGCTGTGGATCCCACAATGGGGTGGGCCATTTTGATGCTATACAGGGTGGTCCAAAAAATAGGACACTTGTATTTCAAAAATAAATATTGTTGATTTTCTTGATGAAAGCATGTCATATTATATACCAGTGGATAGGGAATTTACTTATTTTTAATTTGGTATATCATAAGTTCAAATTTATTATAATGTCTGTCAACCAGCGTCCATAATATAAATGACGTCATTTTCATTTCAAAACGGGTTTCCTCCCTTCCAAAGCGTTGTATAATGGTAGATATATATGTAACACCTGAACTCTTTTGGCGAATTGAAGTATCGAAAGCTTTTAGAAACTAACCCGATCGGACAATTCATCATTTGACTTTATATTTAGTATTCATAAAACTTGATCTAGATGCCTTGTTTAAATATAAGTAGTGGAGCTCTTCTCTATCAAAGTAAATTCCTAGACGATTTGTGTAATTCGATCGCTTATAGTTACTCTAAAAACTAATCTCGCTAATGATAATAGATTCAACTCATTGTATCTAAAGGGAAATATTCATTAGCAGTTTCAAAGGGAAGGACAGAAATGTAGTTTTTAACAAAGCCAAGCTTAAAATACTCTCTGTTTTCAAACAATAAAATCATTTATAGGTAGTTATGTTCTTCAAGGGACATATTACGGAACTTAATCTAACAGATTGCCTGAGTTATTTTTAAGTACATAACACATACAAATATAAGCTCATTCTAGATAAATACCATCACCATATTAAATGAATAAGGGACGGAGTGTAAAATGTTGGAAGCAATATTCAAAATTCATACCAATTCATACCAAACATCGTACCAATTTTTTATAACTCTAACTTTATTTTCTGAAAAAGAATTGAAATGTCTGATGACATCGAAGATATCATAAGTATATTTTGTTTCGAGTAGTTTGAAAATTGAAAGATTAATCTGAAATAAGTCAAAAAATTGTGAAAAATTGTACATCATAAAAAACTAATCAAAGCCTCAATTAAAGACACACTTCGTTTGGCGGACTTTAATCCGATAATGTGATTGAAATCTGATGGTAAAGTCAGGAGTGGCTCGATTCATTTTGGTTAGAAGTTAGAAGGAATACAATTAACCATGTAAGCTATTGATGAAACAAACCCATAGCTTAACAATGCTCAGTTAATAAAGCTGAAAGGTTGGATTAACTATTGAACATACCTAGCTGTAATATTTCAAATGAGGTTTTTGATTGCGTGTTATTGCAGATGTATTCCAGTGTTGTACCAGGACCAAGGAGTTGTCTCGTGTTGACATACTCCACAGCAAGCTTCAGAGCTGACAGCTGTGAGTCTCTGCTTCCAGCGATCAGGCAACCTGAAGAAAGTAAACATCGAATATTTTATTTTTGTACACAGCTGTGTATCTTTTTCTTTTACTGTGCAAATAACCTACTAAACTGATATTGACCTTCATGCACTTTCAGTTTTTTCAGGGGTATGACACTCGCCTTCAATGACCTCAATACCGTCAAATCGACCTTTACTTATTTCCTAACCATTATTTTATCTTGATTAAACACAATGTCAGCTACACATCACTTTCAATTAAACACACAACTTAAATTAATGTACTGGAAAATAGGCTTTGAAATTCCAAAGATAACAGTATTGTTAAGTGTGGTTGTATCTAATTACATACATAAAGTATGAAAAAATAAGTGGTAAAAGTGATGTAATGTTATGTTAATCTCAGCTATTAGTAATCGTAATGGTATTGTGCCCTTTATTGATATAGTCAAACAAATCCCCAAAGATATCATAAAGGAATTAGTGGCCTTGCATAGCCTCACTATGGTGACAGTGACGTCCTATGACCTTCAAATCATAGTGTGATGGTGATATTTTATGACTTAATAGTGTGGTAGTGACCCTTATGAACTTGCATTGACCTTAACAATGTCATAAAGACACCTTTTCATATTTTTCAAATTTCCCTAATACGGATCATCTTGGATTACCAAGCTATGAAGTTTTCATAATCAAACTGGTAAGCGACTATGCTTAAGATGCCACTTTTGAAAGTCGAAGATGGGTTAATGCGACAAAAAACTCATCAACTCATCAATTCAAATGAATCCTATTGTCTCATCCCAAAAACCCTTCAAGGTCAGGCTTCACTGCAACACGACAGCTTTGGAAAAAAGTAAAATACCCTTGCCCGATGTTCGCAAAGGAGAGACCGTATTTTCATCTCCAGACGTCGGAAGATGTTAGGGACACAACGGTTGCTATGAGACCGTTGCTACGATCAATTGTTGCTACTTCTATTTATAAGTATGTTATCAATGATTGGTGAAAGGGGAGTGGGGGCCTCATTAGTAACTACATTCTACACACACAAATCGTAAGCCTCAGAACGTCTCTAATGATTCAAACAAACAATATAGTACTAGTGCTAATTGATCCGTTCTTAATTGTGTTGGATATTGAGTTATATTCTCCATGGGGAATGCAAATACCCACATGTAAGATACAATAAATAATGTATTTTTGCTGAGCATTAATTAGAGGAATTAGAAGGCATCGAGAACTTTTGGAAGTAGTATTTTCAAAAAGCATTCAAATGTTTCCCTTTGCAATCCTAATTTCATTTTTTTGTAAAAAATAATCGAGATCGATATTTGAAAAATCTAATTAGCCAAAATGTTCATTTTATATATTTATAATTACAATATCCAACAGCCGATTCCAACGTTTATGATAAAAGTGTTACGGTAATTGATGATTTTATCATGGCGGAATTAATAATCATTTAATTTTGATTTATTGAAAAATGAACATTGTTGATAGGTATGAGCTGGTATAATCCTATTATTATATAAAAGGAGCATATCATGGAGAGTATGATATATTTGATATTATGTTAACATTGGTAACTGTTAAACCGAACAGGGTTAAATTGCTTTGTTGCTAGGCATTTTGACAAAATCCTTCATATAAACGAAGTACTTTAAAATTGCTGTACCATCTACAAATATCATTAAAGTTTTCTGTGAAAATTTGAAAATAAGTTACAAGATTCTTCGTTTCAAAGCCTTATTCTTAAATCCTATTTATTGACCATGTACATAAAAAGATACAATTAAATAATGAAATATATCTTACCTATTCTAACTACTTTAGACGAGTTTTCCTGTATCAACGTGGAAAACACGAGTATGTACAGGTATATAAAGCACCATTGCCTTGATTTCATTGTTTTAAAACTTGTACCTCTGACCTTATGACTCCTATGCCCGGCCTTTTCTGTAGACAAACTCTTGTTTTCTAGTTTGCTTATCCTCAAACTATCATGTTGATTCATCTCCATCTCTCACTGTTTCCAAACAATCATCTGTGTACAATTTTGACATTCCTGATTTGATGTTTCATTTAATTTCCTTTGTGTTCAATAAAGCGGATCGAGAGTATGTACTTATAAATCTTCCCAACTACTTTCTCGAACTAATAGGTCATACCAATTATCCTAAAGTATCCTAATATCCGTGAAAGTAATAGGGCCCCCTTTACAGGCCTAGGCATGGTGGGCTATATTGAATTTTTATCGCTTGTAGGCTATTTTAGATTTACTTTTATTTGACTTATCCCAAGAAAACATCAAGTATAATCCTGTAATAATCCATTGATGGCTGATATTGTCAAATAATTTCGTTATTACAACGCTTTCATGAAAACTAAATCGAATTATCGTTAAATTAACCTTTTTGTACAGACATATATATTTTCCTATTTTTGACAGTACACACTCAGTCGAATGTGTTACAATTGAGTCTATTCCAAAGTGTCCATTATAAATTGCTACTAAGGCTACATCGATCGTGCAGTCCGAAATCACTTAGCGATCGCGAATCATCGATCGACAATGGACCGCAGCTGAAAGCCTCCCCTAAAAAAGAACAAGCTTTTGTATCGCGGTTTCATTCATATGATTCGAGTTTGTAAAATAGTTACGATTCTTGTTGACACAGGTTAAAAGTTTGATTTTTGTAGACTAACAATTCTATTGAGGCCATTGATAGAGAACAAACGTATTGAATACCCATGTTTCTACGTGGGTATAGTCTAAGTATACATAGACCTAAGTAAGACGTCGATTTGGATTATCCACTTGACAGAATATACGTAATGGCAATAAGACTATATATATATTAATACAAATCTGTTTGATTTGAATATATTTTCCATTGATGAAATAATTCCAGAATGTGGGATATCCATCTATGTTGTGTAAGAAAAGGGGTAGAAAAAGACTGGCATGGTTGAAAATAAATTAAAGTAAATGCGTATTTTAAAGTCCATGTATTAAAGATATAAGAAATGATAAAATTAGATTCGAAAATGTGATTCGAAAAATCGACGATAAAAAAGTCGAGTTGATTATTTCGCAAAATCAATACATTTCTAATATTTTCTATTTTGCTCTTCTTTGTCTACCTGCTGATGCCTATTTTCCAAATGCAAGTTCTGGCTTTATTCGAAGAAATGGTTTAATCTTAGGATGTTTACTGTCAGTATGGGTTTCATCAAGTCAAGTGCTTTGGGCATTTTCTAAGTTATTGATAAAATCATAATAGAATATAATATACTTCCATTGCGTGGCTATGACAACGATTTGTTTTGGTCGTCTACCTTATTTATAAGTTTCTTCTCAAGTTATTGATGAACTAATATTAAAATCTACAAAATATCACTGTTGCCATGGCACCATATATTGCCTATAATATGTTCAAACGTTTATGTACAATTCGATACGTGTTCACAGTAAAAGTTTGAAGAAATCTGAACAGATATTAACACCAAACACCGATCATAAGTTAAATATTCAATTACTTATAAGTTTGGATTGCAGTAGGTTCACGTGGGACTAGCTGTTGAAATATTATTTCAAACACAGTACCTATCACTCTAACTTTAAATAACTTTAAAGAAAGTTTCGTCACATATTACCAATTTAATTTGAAGAGAATTTTTCTTCTCGAGTATAACAAACTTACTTGCGGAATAAAGAGACGGTCAGATGCGCTCTCCACTGCGCCATCAGATCATGTACCCTGCGCACAGACAGCTGGCACAGAGTCTAGTTATAAACCACGACGTAGACGAAGCTCTCTTTTAAGAAGTGAAGTCGAATGAATGCAAAGGGTACAGATCATGGTGCTTTGGGTGTAATCATCAATCACTATCGGACACATCATAATATGTCACATTTTCAACTTGAAAGCAAACACAACTCTCCCATTAATCAATTAGTGAGACCATGGATGTACACCAACGTGACTACACGTCCATGGAGACATGGACAAGAGGAGGACATACAAATCGCCTTATACACAGTGATATACAGCGTGTAACTAATTACTCGGGGTGGAAGGTGTGAGAATTGTGCAAAAAATGACTTTGTGAGCTGGATGGAGTTTCTCTGTATTTTTCATTCTATTAGGGTTTCCTATATAAGGAATTTCGCCTGCGAAGCATAGAACTCTTGCGAACATATCTTAATATTGGTCCGAAGAAGACATACCTTGAATTTTTTAGAAAAAATAGGCTAAAAATGGAAACTACAAAAAGTCAAAATGTTCAACTCAAACAAAACTCTAGCTATTTGATATTAACACTATGTATTATTTAATGTTTTTCAGATGTTTAAGGACCTTCATTAGTGTACTAGTGTCTAGAAATAAGATAATTAAGGACAAAATATGGCATTTTTGATCATTTTCGCTTTCAGCAGTAACATATAGTTCCTTATATCTTGAGTTTAATGTTGACTGGTTGTTGCAATTTTAATCAAATCTGTTCTTGTATATGTTTTCTTCCATTTCAGATACAAAAAATGTATATTGGACCACCAATGGTCATATTAGAGCTTTCAGATCTCCCCTACCCCATTTATTATGAAAAATTACTGAAACATATGAAAATGTAAAATAACTTGAATTTATAAACTTAACAATGTTGTAGTTATTCTATATCAATATTATGTATTATTTAATGTTTTTCAGATATTTCAGAACCTTTATTGGTATACTAGTGCCTAGAAATGAGATATTTAAGGACAAAACTTGGCATTTTTTAAAATCATTTTATCTTTCAGCAGTAACATATAGTTCCTCATATATTGAGTTTTATGCTGGCTGGTTGTTGCAATTTTAATCAAACCTGTTCTTGTAGATGTTTTCTTCTATTAAAGGTATAGAAAATGTATATTGGACCACCAATGGTCATATTAGAGCTTTCAGATCTCCCCTACCCCATTTATAATGAAAAATTATAAGAAAAATATGAAAATATAAAATAACTTGAAACTATAAACTTTAATATAGTTGTAGCTATTCTATATCAATATTATGTGTTATTAAATGTGTTTAAGATATTTCAGAACCTTTATTGGTATACTAGTGCCTAGAAATGAGACATTTAAGGACAAAACATGGCTTTTTTACCATTTTCGCTTTCAGCAATAACATATAAGTCCTTATATCTTGAGTTTTATGCTGACTGGTTGGTGCATTCTTTGTCAGATCTGTTCTTGTACATGTCTTCTTCCATTTAGGATAGAAAAAATGTATATTTGACAACCAATGTTGATATTAGAGCTTTCATGTCTCCCCTGCCCCATTTATAATGTAAATGAAATAGTAATTTCAAAACATAAACTTTAACAAAATTGTAGCTATTCTCTATCAATACTATGTATTATTTAATATAACCTTCATTTGATTACATGTGCCTTAAATTTGGCATTTTTAGCATTCTGCATTTAGCAGTAGCATATAATTTTCCACAATTATAATTCTTTGATGATAGATTCATATATTGAATCTGTCTTCTTTGATTTAAGTTAAAGAAAATGTATGTAAGACAACGAATGTTTTTTTTTATTAGAGGTCTAAGATCTGCCCTCCACCATTTAATAAGAAAACCAACACAAATGTTATTATTGTATGTTAATATGCTTAAACTTTTCAAAAGTTTAGCACATTTATTATCACACTAAAATCAAAAAATGACACATAAATGGGCAAAATGACCAATTTTTCACTTTCAGCAATAGTTGTTTATATTTTTAGTTGAATGGGGATTAGTTGACATATTGTTATCTTCAAAGCATGGAAAATGTGATTTAAACACCAATATACATATTAGAGATAAAATTACTACACTACCATATTTTTAAAAGAATACTCAAAATAGAATAGTGCGAAATAATTTTGTTATTTTACAGTTTACTCTCATATGAATCAAAGGATATGTCTATATATAAACATGATTGTTCACAACTCTCGAACTTAATCAATTTAATACAAATTCTCTCAACATTGAATTCCTTTGTCTTGTCTGCAGCACTGTATGGGCCATAAGGAGTGTCAACTTCTTCATGATCAGTATTTGATAGATTGTTGCAACTATCAGTTTTGCAAAGTTCAATAGCAGCTCTGCCATAAGTGAAACTCATCCCATAATTTAGAGATACAGGGTGTCCGGAAAGTAAAGATACAAACACTCTAATTTTAATAGATTTAGGTTTAGATTACAATTCATCTACCAACTTTTATAACATAAACGTGTTAAAGTTACTATTGTCATGGTTACGGTGGTCAGGGGTATGCGGAGCAGTTCCATGATGTCGCTAAATTGTCATAAATTGCTAGAATTTAACCATTTGAAACAGTGTTTATTATTGTATTTCCTATCAATGTTTTGTTTTGTTCAATATTGTATTCTTGCTGCCATAGTATTCTCTTTAGACTAATGATATCACTGATGCATATCATAACTATATATCACTAACCAGTATAATCAAAGAAAGAAATATTATTTAAGTGCTTAGAAAAAAGGTCCCTGGATTAATAGGAAAGTCAATAGTGCACTTCCTGAATGCACCAATTCACAAAGCAAAGAAAACAAACCTTACAATTGAATGTCTTGACATTAAACCTTTTAATTTTGTACAATGGCCCATATTATACTGAGAAGGTCCCGTTGGACTCCTACATTAATGAAAATCTTAAAGCAATATTTGTTAGAAGTTCAACAAGAAAATGAGACTGCTTGAAGCCTATTTTATCAGTAATCTGAGAGATGGACATCAGCGGTTTTGTCAGGTCTTAAATCTCTGGTCAAGATGCACCATGAATGTTTAGATAATGTTGGGAAATACATAATACTGGATAAAAGTAGTAATGTCAAATGACCAAATAATGTTACAGTACTACTTCTTTTGCTGTTGTGGTACATCATTTGATGTATAATACAACAGATGATGGAGTGTCAAGATGATATCGGCAGGAAAAAAAAATTATAAAACATAATTGTGACGCTGCTCCACATACCAGGGACTACCGTTACCATAACAGCCATAACTTTTTCATTTTGAAATAAATAGTCGTGACAGTTGCAGGATTAATTATTATAATGTCATTCTATAATCTGTAGCAATTTCATCTTACAACAGGTAAATCTATTGAAATTAGAGCATTTGTATCTTTACTTTCCGGACACCCTGTACAGTAACATTGCTTCACAAACCAAAGACAGCTTACCATTTTGTAATACTTTCCAAAATCATCTTGTTGGCTGTTATTCATTTCACAATGTTTGCATTTACCAAAATATTCCCAAGCCCAATATCCATCATTCTGATACTCATAGCATCTTTCTGTTTCACCTGAAACATGCTCTGATATCATGAGGCATATTCTGTGATCTGAGCACATCAGATGGGAAGAGTTATAACTGTCAATAAGTGTGATTGTTATCATGTAATCATCTACCTTAATGTCAATATATTACATAATAGGCATTGTATTTAACAGCAGATTTTACAACAGGCACAGTTACACAAGTTTTATGACCCCAATTAGATGAAATATGAGATGGGATGAAAGATCTCAAAAATCCTCAATTTTGGGCTCTCCTGGATCGCCAAATCAAGCTCATTATATCATGGCATCTCAGGGCTGAGAAGATTTGAGATGACATGGTTTATCATGATGAATATCCATCATGAACTTCCTAATTACACCACACTTAGGTGTAATATGGAAATCACCAAGCCTTTGACAACATTGCAATTGATATGAGGGAATTCAACCAATATGGCTTGATCACTGGTTATAATTATCACACTACTTTAAATATATTCCAAGTGTTCTACTATAATTGCATAGATTCAGGAGCAGTTTGCAACATATTATAACCAGAAAAGCCCAATGGACAAAGATAGAGAATACCCGCCCCATTTGCAACTCAACTTAAAATGTCTAATTTTTAGACTTGTATACTCATGAAGTTCCTGACACATCTGAAAAATATCAAATAATACTTAGTATTAAACTAGAATAGCGACAACTTTGTTAAAGTCTATACTTTGAAATTGTTTGGTTTTATATTTCTGGTTATTTTTCAAAATAAATGGGGTAATGGAGATATGTAAGCTCTAATATAATGACAGGCTTTCCAATATACATTTTTAAATACCTTAAATCAAAGTAGGCAGGCAAAAGAACAGATTTGATCAAGAATTCATCAACCAATCAGCATAAAACTCAAGATATAAGGAACTATATGTTATTGCTTAAAGTGGAAATGATGAAAAATTGTTGAAAAATGACAACTTGTTCTTAAATGTAATTTCTCAACACTAGTATACTAATGAAGGTCCTGAAAAAATAATTATAGCAATCAATAACACATAAAGAATAGTTACATCTTTGTTAAAGTTTATACTGGTAGTTTGAAGTTATTTTTTATATTTTCCGGTCATCTTCCCTTATAAATGGGGTAGGGGAGATCTGAAAGCTCTAATATGAACATTGTTTGTCCACTATACATTTTCAGTACCTTAAATGGAATAGGACTTGTTCAAGAACAGATTTAATCAAAAATGCATCAACCAGTCAGCATAAAACTCAAGATATCAGGATCTATATGTTACTGCTGAAAGCAGCATTGATTAAAAAATGCCAAGTTTTGTCCTTAAAGTCTCATTTCTAGCCACTTGAATACCAATAACAGTTCTGAAAAATATTAAAAACATTAAATAACACATAATATTGATATAGAATAGCTACAACTTTATGAAAGTTTATAATTTCAAGTTATTTTATTTTTTCATATTTCTCGTTTATTTCCATAATTGATGGGGTAGGGGAGATCTGAAAGCTCTAATATGAACATTGTTTGTCTACTATACATTTTCTATACCTTAAATGGAAGAAGACATGCACAAAAACAGATTTGATTGAAAATGCAACAATCAGACAGCATAAAACTCAAGATATGAGGAACTATATATTACTGCTGAAAGCGAAAATGATAAAAAGAAGTGCCAAGTTTTGTCTTTAAATGTCTCATTTCTAGCTACTTGTATACCCATATAGGTTCTGAAATATCTTAAAAACATTAAATAACACATTATATTGACATAGAATAGCTACAACTTTGTTAAAGTTTATAATTTCAAGTTATTTTATTTTTTCATATTTTTCGGTAATTTTCCATAATAAATGGGGTAGGGGAGATCTGAAAGCTCTCATACGAGCATTGGTGGTCCAATATACATTTTCTATACCTTAAATGGAAGAACACATGTACAAGCACAGATTTAATCAAAAATGCAACAACCAGTCATCATTAAACTTGAGATATAAGGAACTATATGTAAATGATGAAAGCGAAAATGATAAAAAATGCCAAATTTTGTCCTTACATGTCACATTTCTAGACACAAGTATACTAATTAAGGTCTTGAAACATCTGAGAAACCTTACATAACACAAAATATTGATATAGAATAGCTACAACTTTTTTTGAGTTGAACATTTTGACTTCTTGTAGTTTCCATTTTTAGCCAATTTTTTCTAAAAAATTCAAGGTATGTCTTCTTCGGACCAGTATTTAGATATGTTCGCAAGAGTTATATGCTTCGCAGGCGAAATCCTTTATGCAGGACACCCTAATAGAATAGAAAATACACAGAAATTCCATCCAGCTCAAAAAGTCATTTTTTCCTTAACGGAGCCTCTTAGAAAATTTTCCACCCCGAGTAAATCCATCTTGGCTTCATACTTTAGGTGCTATATGGGCGACATCTTTAAATGGTAATAAGATCGATGTCTCCAACGTTATATGAGCATGGTAACTCGCCAATATAAATACTTCATTACAATATTTAATGAATTTTTCCTGTATCGGGTAACCCCCCCCCCCCAAAAAAAAAGTGAATCGCATTTAAACAAATATTTTTTCGGCAATAGAATGAAATAAAAACTGTTTCAAGGAAAAAGGATGAGTTGGGAAAATAGGAATTTCCAATCATGGGGTGGAGTCATGTAACTGTAAATAGGCCCAGTGGCGGATCCGGGGGGGGCCAATGGGGCCCGCCCCCCCCCCCCCTAAGGTTGGCCCAGAAAAAAAAGTAAGGCCCAAAAAATGTTAGGCCAAAAAAGGCCTTAAGTCCCAAAAAGTGGGCCTTTTTGTCATTATTGGGCCTTCTAAGGCCATGTTTTTTTTAATTTTAGGCCAAATTTTCAAAAAAATTTCCGCCACTGAGGCCTATCAACAAAAATAAACTACACGGGGTATTTGTTATTTATGGATGGGGTAATTATGTCATTGGACAATATCGTTGGAAGAAAAGCAAACAACGTTTCTACTTTAATTACCAAACCTCGTCCTTGATATTGAAAATCAAAATAAATATTAATCATAAGCAAAACCTGATTGGTGGGCATCGACATAATTCTCATCCTCAAACTTGTCAACAATTTGATAAACTAACTGAGCTATAAATCACAGTCCACGTCGCACTGCATTGCTCCATATACATCTATATATACAGTCTAAGTATATTTCCAGTCGTAAAGGCCCGGTCACACCGCCCGGACGTTGCTGGAGCGTTCCTTGAACGTTGAAAAAATTCATCAACGCTCGTCAACGCGCACAAAATGGGGAAAAAAACAAAAACACGGGCGTTGGCTTAGCGGTGCACCGCTGAAGCCGGCGTTGCTTTAGCGTTGGTTAAGCGGTTGCGAGCGGTTGCGAGCGGTAGCTAGCGTTTTTTAGCGGTAATGCGAGCGTTGGTATAGCGGCGTTCTGCGCATGAGAGCGTTGGCTCGGCGGGGGTATAAATAGCAGCAGCGTTGGTTTAGCAGCATATCGCGTTTGACTACTGGGAAATTATTTCAAGTGGGAAGTGTTTAAGAGTAAAGACCTTTATTGGAATTTGTAACTTTAACAAAAGTCCTTCAAGGATTAAAGAAGAAATGTTTTAAATCTAAAGTGCTTCTATTAATGTAATATGACATTAAGAATGAATAACATTACAATTTTCTTTAATAATCTCTCATATCATTTCAAACAAACATATCACAATTTAATCGTTGCATTTCCATTACTTGGAACCGATTTACGTTCAAATTGCTTTAACAATGTCAAATAACATTTACAGCAAAGTAATAATCATGACGCATGACAAATGTTTGCATCGCTGTGCGCGCATCAACTTTTTGTATAATACCATGACGAGTGCAACATTTTACAAGCTGCGCAGAAAATTCACAGATAATTTATTGAATTGCTTGACGTGAAAACACTATAGGTATATACTATATTTGAATAAAGGTCTCAGTAAAAGTCTATTTGTATTAACATTTAATGAAAAACAAAAATCGCATAATTCACCTTTTTAAAATCCAAAATCACAAACTTTGAGCGCTTAATTTAGGAATTTACAATGCAAAAAATTGAAATGCCAGACATGAATATATATCAAATGTAAAATGCACAAGTGTCTCCACAGTGTTCTACACAGTGGTGCATTTCTCCACGTATTTATAGCCAAATTCTGGTCCCGCTCCGACACCTCTATACCAACACCAAAGCAAAGTTCATCGCCGCCATGGAACGCTGCGATAACGTCCGACACCGTTCCAACAACCCCATGTACGCTGGTAAAACGCTAACAACCGCTCCACCGACGTTTGTGCAACGTTTAATCGCCGCCCGGGCAACGCTGGCGAAGCAGCGGTGGTCCAGCGTTCTTAAGATTTCTGCTTTGGTCTAGCGGACTCAAGCGTCCACGAACTTGCGTCTAGCAGTGCCAAACTTTGACTGGGCGTTGGTGGAGCGGTGATAAACTTTGCCAGGGCGTAAAATTGTCCCTTTTTCAACGCTCGCAATATTTTGAGCAGCTCAAAACTTTTGGAGCGTTAGGATGGCCACTCGAGAAACATCCGCGTTGGCCGAGCGTTTACAGCGTTGCTTTAACGGATGCCAACTTTTGTTAAACGGTGGTGAACATTTACGAGCGTTGATGATTTTTTTCAACGTTCAAGGAACGCTCCAGCAACGTTTAGGCGGTGTGACCGGGCCTTAACCTGTGACGCAGTTTTTTAAGTGCAAACTAGCTTCAATTTATAACCCATTTTGGAGAAAACTCAATGAAATCTTGATAAAAGTACGGTGGATTTAGTAGAGATCATTCATGTTTTTTTGGTGACATATCTAATAGGCCACTGCAAAAGACAAGAGGAGAATGGGCTACTTGCCGCCTACCGTATATAGCACGTTGTACTATTCTAGTAATAGGGAGTTTAAGCTTGCATACAAAGTCGAAACGTCAACATATACGTATGACCAGTCGCCCATACAAATACATCGCTTAAATATTTTTCGTTCACGTTTAAGTTGTGAAAAACATTGCACGCTTAAACTCCCTATTATTTCTGACGACATCTATGTACATTTAGATAGGCATAAAAACAAGGACAGGAACCTGTCCGCACTATTCGTTCGTTCACTTCTGTCAAAGTATTTACTGTCCGTCGGTATATATCTCCAGGGATATATTCTAAAGCAATGTAGAACATATATTCCGGGCATTAGACTATACATCCTAGGAACCTAGGTTCAGAGGATGGTATATATGTATGTATGGTACCCAGTGTCAACGTAAATATAACCTGTTGTAAATATAGTCCAATAGACCATAAGTCTATAACTCCAGGAAAATACAATTCAGGACTATATTTCCGAATCCGGTTGACTATAGTATCCAAGTTGATATAGTCTGGTGGCCAGAACTGAATGTTATATTGAGTGTTGATTGACTATAAATACCAAATCATGGTCCATTTGTAGTCATTTCGGACACAAGTAAAAATGCCCTGTAATAGAATCAGAATAATAATTCAAGACAAAAAAATAGTAACATCCCCCTCCCCTCTAAAAATCGGAAACCCCTTTTCTTCATTGAACAACACGTTGAATGTTGTTTGTTTGGAATCTGTATTTAAAAACAATCAATTTCCAGTTTTTCAGAATTTTCCTGAATTTGTCATTTACAGCTACATTGCCTTTGATGACTTAACAATTCTATAGATGGAGTGCAACTATACATGACTAAACCTACATTCTAAATGAAAAGCCTTGAAATGGGACTATATTTTCTTGTTTACATAGTTTCAAGATAGTGAAGAACCAATTGTTCTGTGGCTATTAAAAACTAGGCAATATCAGTATCGGTTGTCAAGGGAAAATGTAACTAACTGAATATATATTAGTCCCAGTGGACGAAAATAATTAGATAAATAAAAAGTAGTCGTCTAGGGTACAAAGTTATCTGTAAATCTTTACCCCGGGACTCGCATCGTTGTAAAATTATCTTGGGAAATGGCGACACAGATATGCGAAGAAGCTTTAACTTTTGTATAAAAGTAATATTTCTGATTTTTAAGCCTAACTTCAGGTACATAAGCCATATGAATATCAGCCTGTACATCAACCAGTGATACCAGTAGAGTATATTGATAAAATATTCGATATTCGCACGTCAATGGTCTATGACACAATACCGATTGTTCTTTCTATGCTGAACCAATTCTAAGACATTTGAAAAACGAAATCAAGCTAAACCAAGAGAAAGATGTTTTAAAGTGCTACAAAGATATTAACAAATCAAATGCGAGACGACCGCCATTTTCATACTCATCACTTCCTTCTGTCTCCAACCAGTGTGTGAAGCTAATTGAAGGTCATGATTTCTCATGATGTATGACCGCATATTCAAAGAAATAAGGCGCCTTCCTTGTTTATTTAGATCGCATAAATTATGACACCTTAACTTATAAAGATTATATTATATGAATAAATTACAAGTAGTTAACTTTAAGGTTCGACAGTACGCAGAATGAAATGATGTCATAGGTTCAGAGGTTTCGAATTTTTAATTCAAACCGTTATTGGACATACAGCCAAAATTGAACAATAAATAAGATATGTATACAATATTAAAACAATGTACAAACTGAATGAAATAAGTACGGACTAAGAACTGGATAGTCATTATGTGCTTGAAATGGATCTATATGTTCTCGATTTTAGTAATTTTAGCCAGAAGACAACGTGGAATTGCAATTGCTCAGCACTTGTATAAAAATGACAATTTTGAAATCAGGACTTCTACGATCAATCCTCTGTTTGTGGTAGGAAAAGTTACAAGAAAACTTCAAAGTATTACGATTAAGAATTTTGATAGTATCACCATTGATTCTAAGCGTCTGATAACATTTTCCAAAAGTATCTTGTCTGATGCGAGAAAAAACGTTTCTTCAAACTTGGATAGTACAGAAACAAATCGATCAAATATTGATGATGAGGACTCTACAGCCTGGAAGCAGAGCGCAGCAAAATCTATGCCTACTCAGCGAAAGAGGGGTATTCGATGGAAGTATGGAACTTTTACGCGAGCGCGAATGCACACACACATATATGAAAGTTTACACCAAACTAGGCTTTCCCCAACAATAACATCTAGAACGATCACGCATTCTCAAAATATACAATCAAAACCAACTAATGATACTCCAACAAAACCAACGAAGTATCCTCTGACGAAACAAAGCAAACCTAAACCAATCGAGCATCCTTCAATTAATTCAACTAATTGTCCTCCCATAAACCCAACTGAGCCAAACTCAGCCAAGTTTCCTTCAACAAAACCAACTAAGCCAAGACCAACCAAGTATCCCCCAACACAACCAACTAAGCCCAAACCAACCAAGTATCCTCCAACAAAACCAACTAAGCCCAAACCAACTAGGTATCCTTCAACAAAACAAACTAAGCCCAAACCAACCAAGTATCCTCCAACAAAACCAACTAAGCCCAAACCAACTAGGTATCCTCTAACAAAACCAACCAAGCCCAAACCAACCAAGTATCCTTCAACAAAACACACTAAGCCCAAACCAACCAAGTATCCTCCAACAAAACCAACCAAGCCCAAACCAACCAAGTATCCTCCAACAAAACCAACTAAGCCCAAACCAACTAGGTATCCCAGAACAAAACCAACTAAGCCTAGACCGACCAAGTATCCTCCAACAAAATCAACTAAGCCCAAACCAACCAAGTATCCTCTAACAAAACCAACCAAGCCCAAACCAACCAAGTATCCTCCAACAAAACTAACTAAGCCCAAACCAACCAAGTATCCTCTAACAAAACCAACTAAGCCCAAACCAACCAGGTATCCCAAAACAAAACCAACTAAGCCTAGACCGACCAAGTATCCTCCAACAAAAACAACTAAGCCCAAACCAACCAAGTATCCTCCAACAAAACCAACTAAACCCACATCAACCAAAATTTCTCCAACAAAACCAACTAAGCCCAAACCAACCAACTATCCTCCAACAAACGTTACAAAGCCTCCTTTTGCAGGAACATCTGCAAACACCCCACCTGGATGCTTGACAACACCAAAACCATCAACAAGCGTTGCACCCACAAGGAAAACTTCACGTGCACCCTCATCAAGTTCGCAGTCTACAAGTGTGCCATCTGCAAGTGCACCTGTGAATACGTCAACTGCAAGTTTACCTTCTCATACCACACCACTTGACATTACAGTAAGCAAGACATCTGAAATAACAACACCTGAAAATACAACATTGGTCAGTGTAACCCCTAAAAGTTTATCACCCTCGAGTATGCTTGAAACTTTTCATGCTAAGATCGTTGCGATAACCCTGGTCTTGGCGATTATCATTGGTATCCTCATAACGATTGGAGTAATAAGGTACTGGACCACTGATAGCAATGTTCAACCAAGCCTTAGCAACAGAGTATACATCCCAGATCCATTGTATGACATAAGACATTTGGACACGTCGTGTGAGGTTGAAATACACGTCCCCAAACAGGATGAAGCCATTTCATCATGTTTATCACAAGGACGCTTAAAAAGAGACTCAAATTCGTATCAAAGCCAAAGAACAAGTTCTGAAGCCACGTATGCCAACGTGCCCAGTAACAGCTTTGGGCATACATATGATGATGTCATAAGTTCAGGCGGTAATTCTGAGATACCAAGTCAAGTTTCAGAAAATGGGTACGAGCAAGGCCCTCGTCAACTAAATTTTGGTGATAACCATGATTCACTTCCATCACATATCACCATTATACCTAAGATAACATTACCAGATCCATCAAAAACCTTTAAACTGGTATTACTACCATCACTTAAGCCAACTAATACGCACAAATCAAATAACAGACATTTGAACATTACAACTGATGTCAGTGATGATGATATCAGTGCTAATTTCAAAGTCTTTGATGATCCAGTCACTGGCTTAGATTCAAATGGCACTGAGATTAGAGGCACTGGCGATATGTCTCAACTAATGAGGCCATGGACCAAGACATCAAATACACGTCGAGTTAATAAAAGCAACTGGATTCTGAGACAATCCCCGAGTTATTTCGATGATGATCATAATCATATCTTGTAAGGTAAAATGGTCCATGATTCCTTATACAAGGTGACATAAAAATGAAACCAATCAATAAAATGAATACTTTCCAAAGACTACTTCTGAACAGTCAGTCATAGCTAGGTGCAAGTACTTAATATAGAAGTATTATATTATACTATATCATATCATATTATATTATATTATAATATGTTATATTATATTGCTTTTATTTACATATTATTATGAGCTTTATTATACTTGTATCCCACATTTGGGCAAAGTGTACAGCTTAAACGGAAAAAATGAAAAAGCTTAACTAATTCTCTATATATTATATTAACTAATTAAAGGGTGCTTGATCATTGCAAGATTTTATTGGATGCATTTCGTGTTTTTTCTCTCTCAATAAAAATATTTGATATATATTTTGCGAGTATATTTAATATTATTCCCTCTGAATTAAATAGAAACATTAATTTATGCTCCACGTTATTCATGTTTTCTGAATTTTGACAGTGTTTTTTTTTATCCATGTAACTTGACCGAACATCTTTTAACTTATTGCATTCTAATAGAAAATGGCATTCTGAACCGGTTTTCTTGTTACACATTAAACATTTTCTTTCTTCAATAGGGGTAATTGGTTTTATACCGACCTGTTTCGATTTCGAATTTATTTGCGCTAATTCTTAGCTTTGCCAAGTTATTTCTGTCTATTTCATTTTTGATTAAATCCAAGTAGGGTTCCTTGTTCCATTTTGCTTTTATTATCTTATAAAACCTCAATTTAACATTATTTGATTATTTGATGATTAAGTTATTTCATTATGTTTGAATTTTTTGTCCGATGTGACGGAGCAGTTCTACAGTTCCGAGTCATCTCTCTCATTCGCTCTCCTCTTGGAAACCTAATTCCATTATGGAAAAAAAGTAATGCTGATTGTTTTAGATTTTTTTAAGTAATTTAAAAGTAATTAAAGTAATTTTTGAAGTAATTTTAGGTCAATGAAAAAGGGTAAAAATAAGAATGGAATCCCCATTCATTCCAAAATACACGAGTGCATAAAATATCTATGTAGAACATTGTTTAAAATGTATTTACGACGTATAACGTAAAGATTACCGACACGTTGCTGTATATATTTTCACTTGGGTCACTGTGGGCAATCGGGAAAGACGGATGCAGCCATTTGTGTGTTAAGTATCGGCTGCATACATCCCCTGTACTTTTCAATGGAAGAATTGTGTACTTTTGTTTTAATGATCTGCTTTATGTTAAGTTATCCGTGTATCATCATACTGCATTGACTTACTAAATTGTAGCTAGGATATACACATTCAGTGATAGTTTTACTGTGAATACATGACTCTCAAACGTGTTAATTCGACAACTTCTGTCATCGGTCGCAGCTTTGAGGAGGTCATGGGTTTTTCTTTTAATACAAAACTTCAAAAATATCATCATTTGTAATGTGAAGTAAGATACAAACCTAACTATATTTAAACATTTTTGAGGTAATCATATATATATATAAAAAACAAAACATTTTCAATAAACAATTTAATTATTAAGTATCGAATGGATTTGCGAACGTAATTACGATTGGATTCAAATATGCTATAATTGAAACATTTCTCAGACATCCAAACTGGATGCAATGGGGAGAAATATTTATGGTTGCATGTGGATTAGTAATTGAATTGCGAACAGACACACATACACTATTGATATTGTTCAGATGTATATGGTGGCCATTTGATGCCTAGTGATAAACGCACATGGGATCTCGTATTAATCTACCTGTGATTACAAAATCGATTTTGCATTTCATTTCTATATTTCATGTTTCTATTGTAATGGTATCTGTGAAACTGTCAACTCTGATGAGTGATTATTGGCTGAAGGAGTGTCACTATCAAGGAATGTAACCGCCCCTGGATCTGGATCTTCGGGTGCATCAGTGGCTTGGTCAGTTTTGTTCTCTGAATTCTGATAATGGTGGTCCTTGATGAGAAGGTTTCTAAGCTTATAGCATGGGGGATAATGTCATAGGTTTCGGAAGTAACATTTTATGTTTTAGTGTACGGAATGATGTTCAAATATCTTCTTTGTAAGCTGATTTTATTACTTAAAACTACCCTACATTGTCATTTTATTAAATTAAATATATATGCAAGATTTCACTACACAATGGTAAGTAGAAAATCTATACACACTTCTCTTGGTTTGATGTGATAGCCTGGTTTTGAAATAACCCCATTCCCTATAATGTACACGTGTGCAGTCGATACATAGCACTTTAACTGTCTCATCAGTATTTCCCGGCTGACCAAAGTGTGGATTAGAAGAAAATGTTTAGGCTCTAGCCTCCAACCTGACAACGGTGATGATTACATACTTCATAGATGAATCGACATGATAGTCTAAGGATACACAAACTAGAAAACAAGAGTTTCACGAGAGAAAAGGCCGGACATAGGAGTCACAAGGTCAGAGGTACAAGTTTTAAAACAATGAAATCAAGGCAATGGTGCTTTATATACCTGTACATACTCGTGTTTTCCACGTTGATACAGGAAAACAGTTCTAAAATAGTTAGAATAGGTAAGAAATAGCATTTCATTATCTATTTGTATCTTTTTATGTACAATGTCAATAAATAGGTTTTAAGAATAAGGCTCTGAAACGAAGAATCTTGTAACTTTCTATTTCAAATTTTCACAGAATACGTTAATTATACCTGTTAATGGTACAGCAATGTAAAAGTACTTCGTTATGAAGGATTTTGACAAAATGACTGGTGACAAATCCATTATAAATTCAAAAATCTAACACTTTTATCGTTAACGTTAGAATCTGGTGTTGGGAAATTGTGTGGATTACAAGATAGTGCACCTTTAATCAGACATTTTGAACTGAAATGCGAATTCGAAGATGTTATTAACAATGGTAGAAAGGAACACGAGTAAGAAACTGTCAGTTCTATAAAGTATCTGTGTACGGACTGAATTGTTATTTATTGTTTAAGCAATTGTAATATATAAAGGGATGTCATGGAATAGAGCAATTGAGAGTAGGTTTAAAAAGTTGTCTCCGATTATATAATACTCTTTGATCTCATCATCATTCAATGTCAATTTCTAAAAACGTCACTAGTTCTGTCTTTCCTTTAGGAAAATCCTTCAATGTTTAAGTTATCTAGCAATAGTTTTGAAAAGTGGACTCCCCTTTTTAAATCTATGAAATGAACATTTCGGCATCTTAAGTTTCTCATAAATGTGCAACTAGTTAGGTTAGTCATCTGAAGTCTCTTGTCGAGTTTTTCCATGGAGTCTTGTTTTAATGTGCTAGATATCAAGTCAGATATCAAACAGACAAAAAGGTTATGCAACATTATGTGGGTGGCATTTTTGTCTCATCATTATTTTATATGTGTGTCATAGATACAAACGTGCATTTCTATACTGTCAAACTAAAACTACCTCGGTGGACACATATGAGAAATAGGGATCGAAACCAGCCATAGTTTTCTCCTGATGACCATTGTGAATTGTTGTGTTTTATGAATTATGATGACGGCTTTGCGAACGGATGTTGACCCTTTGAATTGCCTATGGACTTCGAGACTGGATTTTATCTATCCCACATCATTTGAGACTGAATACTCTATATTTTATGAGTACTAGTATCTACAACTATTTTTGATGTTATGAGTATTGGCTTATTGGAGTATTTTCTTCAACATGTATTGTAATGACTTCAGTATGAATGAAATGTCCCTTGGTGTTCTGGTCCTGGATTGTGATATTGGTTCTCGATTAGAGGGGGAGGGGGATGTTAGACATTGTTTCTTTTCACGTTAGATTATGGTTTTGGGATATATATGGTCTACTTTTCTTATGACAGATTTACACTTACAGTTTGCTTTTCTTGTTGGGTTTCTTTAAAGTTTTTAGTCACCCTTCCCTTTGGCATATGTGCTTATATATTCGGTGTATATTACAAAACCATTGATCAGCGAGTGTCACCACTGATGTACACCCTATCCAAAGAACCCAACAAATCCAGTGACACAGAATGGATCACTTGGATAGGATGTGTATCTGGAGGTTGATATCAATTTATAATATCATTGGCACAGTAGGATAAAAATGCATGTAGCTGTGTAAAATATTCGATGTTTACTTTCTTCAGGTTGCCTGATCGCTGGAAACAGAGACTCACAGCTGTCAGGTCTGAAACTAGCTGTGGAGTATGTCAACACGAGGCAACTCCTTGGTCCTGGAACAACACTGGAATACATATGTAATAGAACGCAATCAAAAAACACATTCGAGATATTACAGCTAGGTATGTTTAACCTTTAGGCTTGATTAACTGAGCATTGTCAATCTGTAGGATTGTTTCATCAATCGTTCATGGTTAATCGTATTCTTTCGAACTTAACAGGTAAACATAACTCGTTCTCCCGACCCCCCCCCCCCTCCCGTTTTCCTTAGTTATGGACCTGGCATGATATAGCTTGAGAAAAATGTCATATAGACTCGTTAGATATTTTCTGAGGTCTTCCATCTGTCCATATTCCTCCTGACTATCAATAACCTATATATTCCATAAAAATTTGAAAATATTGGCGGAGATTTTTAGGGCAAGGATGCCGCTAGACATTCTTATCTTCGAGGCCCCAGCTGATTGCTCCTAGACATGTATTAGTACTTACTTGGACAATGGAGCATGCTTAGTTGCCTGATATAGCATTGTCACATTGCATGAGCTTTAATTGATTAGAAAGGGACATGTATCGCCATCTCAATTTAATGTATATCATTCCCCTTTTGTGCAAGATCATCCTGATCAGATATGACAAAAGACAGTCTAATATATTATTTATATTTTGTGGTCCCACACGTCCTCGACAATTTTGTAAATGGAAATGACATATTTTACTGCGTCATTCCCAAAATCGTAATCCTAAATCACAATTAGATAAAACATTCATGCCAAAATGCATTAACCACTTACTAGAGAGTTTTGAAAAGTGGATGGGTCCTTTGCGTTCCGTTCCCAAAGCAACAGGATGCACTTTCAGACAAAATAAAAATCAGATCCTTATATACGAGGTCTCTAGCTTTCATTTGGTATATAATTTGTCGTCATACCTCTCGATACTTTAAATTCCTTATTTTTACTTAATTCCTACTCGCCTAATATAGAATGTAATGGCAATGTAAATGCAAGTCAGTAGACGACCGACTTCCTTGCATGAAAAAACATTGTTGTTTACTTTTGTTCCTCCTAAGGTGAAGAAGCCAATGGAAACTCCACATACCGATAGAGCATTCATTGTCATCTACCCTTTGCATTCGTTTGACTTCACTTCTTAAAAGTGAGCTTCGCCTTTGTAGTTTAACTAGACTCTGCACGCAGGGTAATTGTCATCATACTGATCTTGAAATTGTTGCCCACAGGTTGCTACCAGAGTGAGTTGGGAGTAATGGCATTTATTGGGCTAGCAGGCTCAGGGGCACATAAAGCATTGTCTCCACTTTCAGAAGCGCTACACATACCCCAGATAGCACCAACTGCTACAAACCCTATGTTAGGTGAGTAAATAAATACTCATTTTACCCCTAAGGTTTGCCATCCGGATATTCCCTCGTGGATGTTGAAATTTGTCATTGGGTGTTAGACAAGGTAGGTCACTCGATCGAGCGATGTAGAATCTGCAAAGTGTCCGGTTCTCCTTTATTGCCAATTTAGTATTATCTGATAGTTATACATCATTAGGGTTAATTTCATTTTGATATTACCTAAAAGTGCATCAGTCGAGTGACACGCAACTATTCATAAAAGGGATGAGAAAAGCAAAAAATTGATGAAATCGAACTGATCGTCTGCCATTTAGAATGTCATGCGCTAGTTCCATGTAAAGCTTGGATGACGATGTATGGAGTGCTCATCAATATTGATGAATGGCAAAAATGGTGATTGGAATATGTACCCCATAAACTAATTGATAATTTTGCTATTTGATACTAGAACAATACAACAGAACACGCTATTTGGATAATCTATCTCTTAAATTAGATACATCATATTGGATATAAATAATGAAATCATCCATATCAAAACCATCACAATTTCAATTAGAGGTTGCCCATTGTATGGAAGAGTTGCGACGAGCATGTACTTACATAAATGTATTCTTCGAAAATGCCTTCGATAACTTTTCAGCAAGTAAAGATAACTTTCCATACTTAGTACGATTGTCAGCCCCGGATTCTGTCCAGAGTCAGGCCATTGTAAGCCTTGTACATCACTTTGGTTGGGAACAAGTAGCTATTCTTACATCTAACACAGACTATGGTAAGTACGAGCGAGCCCCGTATTAAACCCATGTTAGATAATATCATTGTTTGAGAAACTTGAGATTTGTTAAATATTCCTTTTTTATCTCATATGCAAACACACGTGTATATTATACAATACTTGTACTATACCATGGTTCTCTATTCCAGGAATTCATGGACTGTTGCAATTTCAATCCGAGGCTGCCAGAAGAGCTAGGAAGGTTATCAGTGTACAACAGTTTGTGGTCACCAATGATGTCACACTTAACGCCACTCATGAACTCAATGTTATTAAAGAGGCAGGTAGGTAAAGGACATATGCAGTAAGGAAAATGGACTATATTTTAGAATGAATCATGTTCTATTGTAGAGATAAAAGGTAATTAATAGATAATTAAACAAATGTTCAGGATATACATGTACAGATTCATCTAATGCAGTAACTATGTCAAGAAATAATCTTGCACTTTAGCCAAAAAGTGTGTCAGTATATGTATTTACCTGGTATTGAAGGCGAATAAGGTCATGTTATGATGATGTTATGCGTCCAATATTTTAAGTAGAATAAAGTCATGTTATTCAGATTTTAACATTTGTTAACATTTAACATAATGTTTTTGTAGGTGTGCGGATCATCCTCCTGAACTGTGAGTTGCCCCACGCCAAAGTTGTTCTCCAACAGGCCAAGGAGGCAAACATGACGGGAGCTGGATGGGCTTGGATTGCCACAGACGGGATCACTGGATCGGTAGGGTTATGAAAACAACCATAGCATCACAAATGTAAATACTATTTCACAAACACGAAGATTGTAGTTAGAATTTGTCAGGCAAGTGTTGATTTAATAAATAGATTGTAATTTGCACAGTGTATTTTGAATAAGAATATGATATTCATTATTTCAAGATTTTACAGAATTCATTCATGTACTAAATTTTAGGAGCACAAGTCAACCGCCCAGGTATTTAAAATTTTGATATTATAATGTCAAAGATCATGAAAACTCATTAACATGCATTGAGCAAAATGTTGAAAAACTTTATAACACAAATTGGTGTGTAACTTTATATGATGAATATTTTGAATAATAACCTACAGATCACGAAAAATCATTAACATACACTGAAAAAATGTGCAATATTCACAATGGGGGTTAATATATCAGTCAATTTAGTGCAAAGTTCGGGAGTTATTTGTTTCAAAATTATTCTCATTATTGCTCTTGAATAAATGATTCTCTGATGAATGATTAATGCAGTTTGATTGGTTATAAACATGAATGTCATTTGAATGAGTGTGGTAATCGGATCCACGGGCTATGATACAGGACATGAGTACATCACCAACATTTCATATAAAATGTAGATTGATATTTTCAGAGTGATCTGTCCACGAATCCTGTCTCAGACCAATACCTGGGCATTCTCGGGACAAAGCCTGCTGTGGGTCGTGGCTCCCTCTACGACTACTTCTACTCCGAGTGGAAGGCTCTTGATCCCGTACAATATCCAGGGGCAGGACCTGGGTCGGAACTAAGTGTAAGATTTCGACATACTTTTAGGGAAATCGAATGGTTTTGTTATTGTATGCCGGCAGTGGTTTTGACAACCAACCTGAATAACTAGAACACTATAAGTATTGACACAAAAACGATGATAAGTTACATATTTATGACATCTGAGATTTATTTTGAAGAAGTGACCCATCATTTTCAATGTTTGTGTGATTGTGATGCACGAAGCGGACGCATCACGCAAATAAGAGCAACGCTGCTACACAGAGGCGTGTTTTCACGTGATATTGAAAAGTTCTCTCAAACTTTCTAGGCATACAGTGGGTTGATTGTTGATGCCGTGTTAGCGTTAAGCTACGCCGTACAAAGTATGTACAGCGAACCCGCAAACGCCGGGGTGGCCCAAACGTCTGTTAAGTGCCACGCCAACCAGGTTTGGAATGATGGAAGTACTATGTTACGTCATATATCCAACATTGATGGTGACGGTGTCAATAACAGAATCGACTTCAAACAGTCGAGAATTGAACCGGAGATGCCAGTGTTTGATATTGTCAACTTGAAAGAGGATGGGTGGCATAAGGTACCAACACTAACAATTTGTGTGACAAATAATTTAATAGGCTAAGGGGGCAATACCAATATCAAATAATAGATAAAATGTTTCGTGTGGAATAGCTCATGAACGACGTCTTATGTAAGCATATGATTCCTCTTAGTTCAATTATTTATAACAATCGGATACATCTATTCTTCTTGGTTTCAAAGAAAATAAACTTATTTTGCATGCCATTGATTCATAATGTTTTAGATGTACACCTTCGATAACTGTGTGGGATAGTTTTACTACACACTAATTACAAACGTTTATTGCCGGGATGTGTTGAACCATCACAATCTATGTTTTCTATATTCTCCAGGTGGGCAGTTGGGACAGTGTCAATAGGTTGAAATTTACAAATAGAGCAGATATAACTTTCCATGGCAACAAACACACCGTCACTGATTACGTCAGTGACCTTGCCAATAAACATTTAATAATTGTTACTTTAGAAGAGGCCCCATTTGTTATGTTTACCAGGAAGCCAGAAGATCCAAACAACATACAAGATGATGAAATTGAAGGTATTGGCACTTCATTGCTTTTCCATCTTCATAAAAAAGTCATGGTTGAGGTCAATGTTGGGGTAAACCGGGCAACTCATCCCTAAGACAACTCATCCCCAAGACATCTCATTACCAAGACAACTCATCCACAAGACAACTCTTCCCAACTGGAAATATAACGTAATTTTATACAATTAATTTCAAGAATATTTGAAAAATATTTAATGATTTCAGCAGTTAGCACACTGGCCATGGAATATCTTTGTTTTTTCATTATATACATTTTTCATGCTGTATTTTAAACTGATACGTTTCATATTTTGTCATGCTGTATTTACTTAATATTTTTGTATTTTGTAGTTAGTTTAGCCTAGTTTTAGTTAATTTTTGTTGATTGATTGGGATAAAGATACACATGTTCAAATTAATATATACTTTGATTATTAAATAAAAGATAATCAAAGGTGTCAGATTAGGATTAACTAAGTTAGAATGTATTATCCAGGGTGCTATCAAAATAATTCTCTCAGATTAATTCAGTCTTTGTTTGTTTGGCTTAATTGGATAAAAAAAAGGATTTCCAATTTCAAACTTTCAGATTCATGATGATTTTTGGAAATAATGTATATGACTTTTATCTTCAATTCTATATTCTCAAATATATTTAGAATAACCCAGAATTAATCAAAATACCGGTGGTACTTACAAGTTAAACATAACTTTATTTCAAAATGATAAAAATCAATATTAAAAATTGAGTGTATAATTAAAAATCACTTTGTAATTTTCAAAATGAATTGGAACATTTGGTAATTGAACTCAATTTTACTGAGAATAGTTCAGTCACTTATTTATCTGATGTTAAGTTTATAGGTGCAAGTTAATGCATTAAACCAGACAATGCTGGATATGACCCCTCTTCTCCTGAATTACTAGTTCAAGCTTGGGACTCAGTTTTGAAATGATTCATTCAGTTTGCTATTTCTTTGTTTTTGTCCAAGCAATCTTGATTAAAAAATTCAGCTTGACAAAACTTCTTATATGTTTGCCTTGGAAGATCAAATCTAGTAACTTATTCAACATTTTTTACCTAAATTGATGGGTGTCAAGCATATTTTGATGGCTATTGTTGGGTGTATTACTGATTGAAAATTCTCAAGAAAGAGGCCAGGGTAGTCCGATTTGACTGGTAAATGAAGCCCCGTCCCCTTTCTTGTTACAATATGAATAATTTTAATTGAATATATTAATATATGTATATCAATATCATAAGGGAGTCTTGTAGAACACAAATAATATTTTATATATGCTTGGAGTTGGTCTTTAATAAAGTCTTGTAAATAACTGATCAGTTTTCTCTTTACTGAAAAGTGGAAACAATGATTTTGTCAATTTAGTAGCTGTATGGGTTATGCAATTGCTCACCTCTGACATGTTCTTTCTTTCCTACATATATATATACTCTTAAATAAAATAATGACTTTGGGTATTCTTTAGTTGACAAGAACGTAATAGTTTTCTTGTTAACCATAGATGTAAATACCTCTTGTCAACTGAAATGTATATAGCAGTCATATGCATCATGTTCATTAAAGCTTTGAAATAAAGAATATTTGAAAACGTAGCAGCGAAATTGACAAGTGTACATTGTATATTCAAGAAAATGGGACATTGACTAGTTTAATGCATTCACTTTGTGGTGTTCAACTATAAACGTTACAGCAGATAAATAACTATGCTCAGAAAGGTTTTGGTGCATTTTAGAGGAAAAATAAAGGGTTTGCGTTCAAAAAACAAATGTTCCAATATTTTGGACCACCCTGTATAATATTGAGGACAAAATAATTCATCAAGTATACAAGTTGGATGAGTTGTCTTGGGATGAGATTCTTGGGATGACTTGTCTTGAGATAAGTTGTCTTAGGGATGACTTGTCTTGGGATGACTTGTTTTAGGGTTGCCTTGTCTTGGGATGATTTGTCTTGGGATGAGTTGTCTTAGGGATGACTTGTCCTTGGGATGACTTGTCGTGGGATGAGTTCAGAAGTCAAATGGAATTTGTAAAATATGCAATATTGAAGTAGAATTCTAAATCAAATCTAAAGTTCTCTGAACAATAAATTTTATTTTACAACAACGAAGGAGATTTGTTTTGGGATGAGTTTTCTTAGGGATGACTTGTCTTGGGATGACTTGTCCTGGAGATGACTTGTCTTGGGATGAGTTGTCTTAGGAATGAGCTTTCTTGGGATGAGTTGTCTTGGGATGACTTGTCTTGGGATGAGTTGTCTTAGGGATGACTTGTCTCGGGATGAGTTGTCTTGGGATGACTTGTCGTGGGATGAGTTGTCTTGGGATGACTTGTCTTAGGATGAATTGTCTTGGGATGACTTGTCTTAGGATGACTTGTCTTAGGGATGACTTGTCTTAGGATGAGTTGTCTTGGGATGACTTGTCGTGGGATGAGTTGTCTTTGGATGACTTGTCTTAGGACGAGTTGTCTTGGGATGACTTGTCTTAGGATGAGTTGTCTTAGGGATGACTTGTCGTGGGATGACTTGTCTTGGGATGACTTGTCTTAGGATAAGTTGTCTTGGGATGACTTGTCTTAGGATGAGTTGTCTTAGGGATGACTTGTCTTAGGATGAGTTGTCTTGGGATGACTTGTCTTAAGATGAGTTGTCTTGGGATGACTTGTCTTAGCATGAGTTGTCTTAGGGAAGACTTGTCTTGGGATGAGTTGTCTTGGGATGCCTTTTCTTGGGATGAGTTATCTTATAAGGATGACTTGTCTTGGGATGAGTTGTCTTATGGATGAGTTGTCTTAGGGATGACTTGTCTTAGGATGAGATTCTTGGGATGACTTGTCTTAGGATGAGTTGTCTTGGGATGACTTGTCTTAGGATGAGATTCTTGGGATGACTTGTCTTGGGATGAGTTGTCTGTTGTCTTGGGATGCCTTGTCTTGGGATGAGTTATCTTATAAGGATGACTTGTCTTTGGGATGAGTTGTCTTATGGATGACTTGTCGTGGGATGAGTTGTCTAGAAAACCAATATTAGTTATTTAGACCGGTATTTACTTTTGCCTCGTTTTGAATTAATCGTTTTTTCACATTTTCGCAAAACATAAGAACCAACTATTATTACTAGGAAGGAAGGAAGGAAGGATGCAAGGATGCACTGACTTAACATGGGAATATACAGCCCATTGGCGGATCCAGAAGCTAGCATCGCAAGAGACAAAATCCTCATCATCTCCATTCATATGTTACAGGGTTTTGTATAGATTTTTTGAAGAACCTTTCATCAAGGATAGGCTTTACTTACACGCTGAAGAGGTCACCAGATGGTAACTGGGGTGCTAAGGATGATGTCACAAGAAAATGGAATGGAATGGCCAGAGAGCTTGTAGACAGGGTATCAAAATTTATACAATTTGATCAATTATCCCCACGATAATAGTATATATACCAATACTTCGAAATCAAGATTACAAAAATACACAGAGTTGAAGATGTCATAATACAGTACTTGCTATAATAATTGCTAATTTTATGAATTACTTTACTATAAATATATAAGCACAAGTGCCAAAGGGAAAGGACAAAAAGTTGTAATGAAACTTAGCAAGAAAAATAAAATTGATTAAGCAGAGATATCACGATCAAAATCCCTCTCAAGATCAATCATACGTTTTATGAACGTGTCATGGATGTCATGTTTGTTACTTGTGTAGAAAGCTGACATGGTTGTTGCCTCATATACAATCACCAAGATCAGAGAGAGGGATTTCGACTTCACCACGCCCTATATGGACCTTGGGTTAAAGTTTCTCATGAAGGTATTATATTTTCTTGTCTTAAAATTATCTCAGGAACGTTACTTAGAATCATTAGAGAGGTTTCGCAAAACGATTTTTAGCTCAACGGATCCGTAGCCGTAACGTATTTACCAGATTTATGCGTAGTCAGTTCAAGTTATACGTGAAGCGGTACGGAAATCACGAAAAATGAGGCTTTTCTACGTTAGTCATTTACGTACCCCATTTTATCCTTCGATTATATTGATTTTAGTTCTAAATGTATCACCATATAAAGAAGCACACTGTTGAGTATAATTTGACTTGAATTTTGTGAATGAATTTGTTTATTGTTTGACATAAATCCAGTTTTTCAAATGGTATGTTCAATTCATTTTACACTGTATGGAATGGTATTGCAATAATTACAGTGTACATGTTTCGCACAACGTTTTAGCTACCCGTATCAAACTCCGTAACGTATCGATGGAGAAAAAGTGTAGTCAATACGTTTGTCTAACCGACAGCAATACCGAAAGTACGTAAACTAACGCTTTCTGTGCGTAGTTGTTTCCGTATCTATTTCGTCCCTCAAATCTTGATAATTTTTTCCCTAAATGTATAATTTTAGTAACCCACATATGTTATCACGTATATCGTGCTAATTTTGATGAAGTAGTAGGCTTATCTGTCGATAAATTTGATTATTAGTGGGTGGCCTGCAATTTTTACGAATAAAGCTTTGGCCATATTTGTTTGTAGGCAGCCGTACGGTCTATTATTTCTAGGGTCAATAGTAATACCGTAGTCAATTTCTAGGGACATCATGTGACAGGTAGAGTATATTTATATTAGGTGATCATAGGATGATGTTAATGGCGTGGCGTTTTCATTTTTTTTAGAAATGCCTGACATCCCGATCCTGAAACGGACCCTCTCCCTTACATATAAGTCATGGTAAGGCCCCAGATGTGCATCTTACTCTTGGGTGGTGGTCCTTGATATGTTCCTCATCAGCAGCCCGTAATGATAGGGAAAGGGGGAGGCGGTTGTAATTCAAGTAGATATCGGGTTGTTCCCGATTGTGTTTCGCGATTGTCTCCAGTTGGAATATGTTTGTTGAGTACTAGTATATCGGTATCAACGTTTCGTTGTGGTTTATTGGTTGTGCCTGATTGTGTTTTGAAGGGTTGATAAAATCGATTAGTATTTAGTTGAGCCTGGTTGTGTATTGGTGGGTTACTGTCAGGTAGATATTGCCGAATTGTGTTGTGTCAGTTTGAGAGGCAGTTGTCTTTTGATGGTTGTTAGTCTGGTGATTTAGTATCGGGTTGTGCTCCATTGTGTTATGTTAATTTTATAATGGGTTGTGTTCTCTTGTGAATATGTTATGTTGATTGGGTAGCTGCTTGTAGCTAGTCGGGTGAGGTTGTCTCTGATTGTGTTGTGTGATTGGCGTTGCCTCCATTTGGAGTAAGTTAGTTGTGTATATTGGTATTACATTTTGATTGTGTTTTATTGCCTGTGCCTGATTTTGTTTTGATTGTCTGATTTTGGGTTTTGGAAAATTGTGATGTGTTTCTTGAACAATTGGTTGTGTTTGCCTTTGTTGTTTTATCATTGGGTTGTGACATATTGTGTTAATTTGACATTTGGTTGTGTTTTGGTGATTGAAAGGTAGGTTGCGCTATGCTGACTTTGGTGCTGGGTTATGCTCCATTGAGTTCTGTGTATGTTGTCACTGGGTTATGTTCTATTGTACTGTTGTATGATTGGTGACCTAGGTTGTGTTTGGTTGAACTAGGTTATATATGTCGTGTTACTGGCTGTGTCCGATCGGGTTGTGGTGTACTATTGGGTTAAGATGCAAATGGCCGGTTTAAGGTATTATATAATTATTGTTGGTATATCAGTTGGTTGGTATATTCAGGGTAGAATCAAAGGGTATAATAATATGGTTGTACACATTATTAGTATGTTATAGGTTTGGAACCTACATGTATTCATAAATAATGCAATCTCTAGTGTGAGATATTCAACTGGTACCATTGGCGTTAGGTTTGTGTCGTTCTCTGATGCTCTGATGAGGGGGTCTCCTGTTGTTCAATGAATCCAAGAAAAACAATGCTAATTTATCTTTTTACATAATATGTTTTTGTTGATTTTTTCATACAAAACAGGGAAGATTTACTTTTATTGCATAAATGATATATTTGCGTCACTTTCTATGATCAAATATGTTACTTTGCTTCCACCAAGTCGGTATTTTTACTTATTTGATCTTAAAGTATAACCAGAAATCAAGATAATTAAGAGACCAACTTAGGCAAGGTTACGAATGCCTATATGATTTGTCATGTCAAAGAAACTATTTATTGGAATCACTCCATAATAGACATTATGCATATGCTTAAGATGGAATTCTACTTTTGAGTGAAATAAAAAGATGCTATATGAGAAAATAGGTGTTGCAATAGAGGTCAAATATTTGGCTGGATGGATTTCACTCAAGCCTGATATGACATAATGAATAACATAAACCATTTGTTTAGATTGCGTGTGCTCCTTCGGAACTAATTATAGCATTGATAAGCTAAGTATACTTATAAGGGCATACTTATAAAAAGATAATGAGGTCAAAAGGGATATGATGGTGTTACGTCAAGTGTGCATGCTTTCATGTTAAGTCAAAACGCACTTGCTGCATCCTTAATATTCTCGGGAAAAAATAAGTAAACGCAAATGTACACACTAATTTCAAATATCATTTCTACCAGAAATGTTTACGCATTTTGTAGCATAATGCAGTCACTGCACTTCACTTAATGACCACTATTTCAGCCTATCTGTGTTGAAACCCTGAAATATTCCCCAAAGTATAGTTTGACAATGAATTGGTTATTGTAAACCTAAAAATTATCTTTTCTGGCCTAAGGGATATTCTTCATTTTGAAATTGATTTCATGAAATTAATAAATGACCCCTTGGGGATGAAAGGGTTAATATGTATTTTTGCATTCACCAATTATACTCATGGAGTTGTGATTCTGAAAGCTGACACTCTCAATGGTGTATTGAAATCTTAGTGCAGATGAATTCTTTTATTTGACCCTAGTTTTCATTACTATTAAACATTTTGAGATGCGTTTATAATTACGTACTTCAAAAAACGAACTGCGAAACGAAAATTATCGAATTACGTTTCCGTAAACGTAACGAAATACGGATGCGGATACGTTTTAGCTAACCCGTTGTGCGAAACCTCTCTATTATTCCAAATGATGGGAACGTAAGACTAAACTGAACTATTTATTGTAGAGATATTTTGGGTTTCAAGTACTGATAGGTCAAGGTATTCGTCGTCTATCAAAAAGGTAGTCAAACGTTTGGTTGCTACTGCCATACATATTGATCTACTGATTCTGAATTATCTTTTTCGGGAATGAAACATCCTTCTGCAGTTTTCCATTGTGGGGCGTTGTATTATCTTTTCCTCAAACTACTTTCAATAACTTCCAAAGTCGAATTTGTAACTTTGGACATCGTTTGTAGATCGTATATGGTATTCCATATTCCACTTGGCCCTGGGGCAGATGAAGCCCTTGGATGGTAAACGATATCTTTAATTGTTTTGCAAGTTCCTCCAGATTGAATTCCTGGGGTATTTTAATATCAGGTCGCACCTCACTTCTCCTTACATCCTTATGGGGCATGGTTAAGACGTGGTTTTCTACTTCTTCTAGTTGTTCAATTCATTAACAAATCCGAAAGGGTCCTTTGTAAAAGATGCCCATTTTCTTGGTGCGTTCTCTTCAATGTCTCCTGTGATGTTCAGTTCTTAATGTTTTGAGTTTACACCTGGCTATATTTCTCAGTTCACTTAGTGCATTTTTCTTAATTTGCCCTGCATATTTGTACCTTTTCTTCAGATCAGATCTGCAGGTCTTTAATTAATATATCCTTCTGTCTTCTACTAATATAACCTATTTCTGGTTTTGAAAGGCATTTCCTTCGACTCCCAATTTGTTGGATGCATGTTGCAACCAGGTAAGGTGGTGAGGGTTTTAACTATAGAAATGCACTTAGTCTGCTGACATAATGCCTGATTCTGTATTAACGCATACTTTTCAAATGCAACCATAATATCTAGAGCTCTATGTGTCGTTGCGTTATTGATATGATTATCTACATGTAGAATATATCTTCTTTTGCAGGAAGAGAGGACTGAGGTTCCTGAACCATTCAAGTTCCTAGACCCCTTTAGCACCGAGGTGTACCTCTATGTGATCCTAACCACAGTCTTTGTCAGCATATATACCTCATTACTCAACAAGCTTAGCCCGTATGATCATCACGGTGGCTTTGTATACGACAACGACCCACCACCAAGGTAGTTCTTCTAGTACTCTGCTCCTCTTACCCCCCTTGGCGGCCTCAATTATAGGGCCTCAATTAGTGGGCCTTTCTGAGCATAACTTGGCCTTTTTGGGCCTTTTAAGGCCAAATTATCAAAATGGTTTAGGGGCTCACAATTTTTTGTTTTTGTTTAATTTTAAATTTGCCGCCCCCTCCCCTTGTCAGCTACTGGCTCTGCCAGTTATCGGTGTACAAGGACACATCTAATGCAACTTTCGGCTAGCGGCTAGCGGGTTAATTGCAACTTGATTGCAAACTCATTTAAATACCTGCCGTGTATCCAGGTAACTGTAAGCTATCGCGACAAGCATAATCGCTAGCTATTTAGCAGCAAGTGACAGTAACCTAGGATCTGTTCGCTAATTCAACCGAGCGGCTTTCTTATAATCCATCGTTACAGTGGCATAAAAAATAACTGATCACTGTTCCTCGACTAACGGGTTGTTCGTAACTCATCTAAATATGAATTGTACCTGCCACTATTCCATTCATATTTAAATGAGTTGGTCATAAAATAGTAGGTTAATCCGGTAGCCGCTAGCCGAACTTAGTTGCATTCGCGAATTCAAGCTAAGTTATTGGTAAATGATAAATGTGACCCTTGAAGAAGTAATGCATGAAACAAATACTCCAATGACCTGAACACAATTCTCTTGCAAAGAGTATAGTGCTAATTAGAATTGAATGGTTGAGCCATTAACAGCTGTATACAATTATTGACCTCTCCAAAGGTAATTAAACGATGTGACATGAGTTTATTAAACCTAATATAAATGTTGCACATAAGATATTTGAGTTATGTATTTTATTTATTCTCTTTTTGCAAACAAAAGGAAAATATGTGATATAAAAACTCACGAAAAAAGAAAATGTCGTGCAATTGGAGCTCATGACTTTAAGAATGCCTTATGGTTTAGCATAACATCCCTGCTACTTCAAGGTGGTGAAAATCAACCCCGTTGCCTTGCTGGTAAGATAACTTATTAGTTTGACAGTATAAGATTTATGTATGTTTCAGTTAAAAAATGTAAACATGTCACCACCACACGTATGACATATTGTTATACTTTCCAACTTTTTGGGGGATGGTGTTCGGAGTTCGACGTTAGGTGTCTGTAACAAATGGCAGGTGGTGACATTTTGCATGTTAATGGTTTGTTCGTATTTGTAAGTTACGATCCATTACTTCTTTCTGTAATCATGTATGAGTAAAGTTTGAAACTTAATGTGGTATAATGAAATAAGTTTATAGCTAAATTTTTATAGCGCGTGTAACCATTGCAATGTGGTGGACTGGGATATTGGTCATAGCCAAAACATATACGGCCAACTTAGCAGCGTTCCAAACAGCAAGTAGACTAGACACTAGCATCAGCTCTATCGAGGGTCTTGGTTCACAAACTAAAATCATATACGGTAAGCCTTTTTCGTTTGGTGAATTTCAAAATCATGAATAGTACCATGGGCACTGGGCACATATGGTGCTTTGGTACAATTTTCGGGACGAAAAATCCAAAATCACCATCTAAAAAAATTTCCAGAGTGTCCAAAGACAAACCCTTTGCAGACTTTTATACCAAGAAACATCTCTTAAAATTCACTCCAGATTGGTCCCATGACTTACAAACTTACGAGAGTAACCACTCAAACCGCCACACTTATTGACAATATATTTACCAATTCAACCGAAATAAAACACTCTGGACTTGTTCATTATGAAATAGCTGATCATTTTGCTATTTTTTCAATCACGAAACATGCAACTTGTAAAAAGGAAGAAAAAACGTTTAAATTTCGTAAAATCAATGATAAAGCTATTATTAACTTTAACTTTAAACTTTCAAATATAAATTGGAATGAAATTTTAGCAGAACAAGATGTAAATAATGCATACCAATTATTTGAAATTTTGATATCTGACTTATATAATAAATACTTTCCTTTGCACATTAAAACTATAAAGGTGTATACTAATTCAAGTAAACCATGGTTAACCACTGGTCTGATTACATCCTGCAAAACTAAAAACAAGCTCTATCGCTCATACTTGAAATATCAATCTTTAGAAACCCTTGAAAAATACAAGACCTATAAAAATAAGCTGAATCATCTCATTCGATCTTCTGAAAATAGATACTATATAGCTAAATTTAATGAAACAAAGGGTAATATTAAACAGACATGGAATCTAATAAACAATATTCTTCATAGGAAAAAATGTGACTCAAGTGATTACATCATGAATATAAACAACCAACCTACCAAAGATAAAAGAATTATTGCTAATAAATTTACTTCCTATTTCTCTGATGTGGGACCAAAACTAGCATCTACAATAACTTCAACTGGATCACCACTTGAGCATATAACAAGAAACCCCTTTTCTTTATTTTTAGAACCTGTAATTGAAGATGAAATCTTAAAACTTGTGAAAAGACTCAATGATAAAGCTCCAGGATTTGATGATATAAAACCAATAGTTATTAAACATGCAAGGTACAACCTTGTGATACCATTTACTCATATAGTAAACCTTTCCTTACAAACAGGTGTATTTCCAGAAAAGATGAAAATAACCAAATTAATAGCACTTTTCAAAAAGGGTGATAAATCAAAATTTGAAAATTATAGACCAATTTCCTTATTAAGTGTATTTTCCAAACTTCTTGAAAAAGTAATGCACTCAAGAATTTCTAAATTTATCAAAAATAATAAGTTAATGAATGAAAAACAATTTGGATTCAAAGAAAACAACTCAACATACATGGCTCTTTTAACTTTTCTGGAACAAATTCGGTTTTCAATGGATAATAATAAGCATATTCTAGGATTGTATTTAGACCTATCAAAAGCGTTTGATACGATTGACCATACAATATTATCAAATAAACTTGAACTGTTAGGTTTTCGTGGAGTAGTGTTAAATTGGTTCAAAAGTTACTTAAAAGATCGACCATTAAAAACTTTCATATCAGGTTCATACTATGATGAAGAGCATTATTTACATTGTGGCGTCCCCCAAGGATCTGTTTTGGGACCAGTCCTCTTCACATTGTATATAAATGATATATTTAATGTTACCAATATGATAAAATTAGTTATTTTTGCAGATGACACAAATATTTCTCTAGAAGATGACAACTTAGATAATCTTTACTTGAGGGCAAACACTGAAATAAAATGTATAATCTGTTAATCAACTGGCTAAAAAACAACAAGCTTTCACTCAATATAGAGAAAACTAAATATATGTTATTTACTAAATCAAGACTTTATAATATAAATAGCCATCACTACAAGGTATATATTGGTGATAACCAGATTGAAAGAGTTAACTATATAAATTTTCTTGGTGTAATCATTGATGCAAATCTGAAATGGAATAGGCATACTGAATATATTGTTTCAGAAATTTCAAAAATAATAGGCATTCTTTTCAAAGTAAGAAATAAACTATCAAGACATGCATTGTTAGACATTTACTATTCACTTGTTTATTCACATATTTCGTATTGCAACATCATATGGGGTAATGCCAACAAATCATTACTTATGTAACGACCCAAGGTGTTGTGTTGGGGTTTGTGCAGTTTCGTGGGGGTTGATTTAATAATAAGTGTCAAACAAAACGTTTAGGTTTGAGGTCAACAATAATCAACGTTACTATATTGTTTAATTATAAGTCATAAGGTACATGAACATGTTACATAACAATAAGAAATGCATACAAGTACAACTCCTGTAACCTCAATACTAATTAAATCTAAGTACAATACCTGGACTGATAGCTTGCAATTATCTCACACAATAATGTCAAACAAATTATGTGTTCAAAGTACCTGTAAATGATGCATTGATAACTCACCCCAAAACAACCAAGTGCCTGCGACTTAAGTAAATATCCAAGATGGTGACAAATATATATCCGACTAATTGATAAACTGAACTCCTTAATTGATTCCTAGTCCAAATATCCACAAAGACTGTACCAGAGCTGGAGACCTTTACCCAAGCGAGCCAGGAGCGAGACTGAGGTACTGATGGTGAACATTTACTTATATACCCCTGAGACCCCAAGTGCTGCATGTACAGGGGGACCAAGACACGGAAGCCATTGATTGGTTAACTTGAGTACTAAAAGACTATGGACATCCCTAAAACTGACCATGACAAATTATGGACCGATGATTGGTTAAGTGACTGAAGCAAATGTTAGAATGCAGTTGGTACTGAGAATATTCCATAGTAAAAGACTGCTTGCACCAAAACTTGAGTGGACTGAAGATGACCAGACTGTAAAGTGATTGGTTGAAAGATACAATGGAAGTGTGCCTACTGTCTAAAGACCACCAGCCTCTATGAAACCCAGAACTAAGTCTAGATACTGATACATGATTGGTTGACAAATGACAACTAAGTTTGACCATTATATGAGGACCTTCAGCCTTTATGTAAATACAGAGATAACTGAGAAATTATACATCCTAAGACCCAAATCCGTTACACCACCCCCCACCAATGAAAAATAAGATCGTCCTCGATCTTCAAGTAACATCAAAACAATATAATAATATTAAAGTAACGGATTTGACAACTACATTGATATATACCTTTACACACAAAATAAAATCAAAATACAATGATATTTTAACATTTGTAATCATGACAGATCTAACCTCCCCTAACTGGACAAATATACTTAATGTAACATAGTCCTAGTTGACAACCACTATCTGTAATGCTCAAGATTTTACTTTTCCAAGATTGCCAAAATATAAAGTATCAAAGTACAACTTACACTGTCAATTCAATAGAGACCATCAGCATTTTAAGTGCAAATTATACAATATCATGCAATTGATAATTACATAAAACACAAACAGTGATTAATAAAGATCTATATCTTAAATTGCCTATATAATCTCTCAATGAAATAAATGAATTGCAAAATTGAAATAAAAATGACAACAGTTTCAAGTAAAACCCTTTTGTTAACATTAACGAAGAATATGACACTATAACTGAGTTTGTAAATACAATAACAAATCATAGTAAATTCCATAGTAAATTTGGCCTTCAAAATTATCATCTCAAAGCAATTGTTACATAAAGTAAATCTAAATTTCCATAACTAAACAATCCTGTAAAGATGACCAATAAATTACCATATGTAAATAAACATAGCCTGAAACTGAACTATCAATGTAATAACTAGCACGCACAGTATAAACATGGTAAATTGTCTCTCAGGGTCAGGAGGTCACACGTTTGGTATCTGGTACTGCATCATCAACATTATAAGCACTAATCATAAATCATAATTTTATGTCAGGTCTCAGCAACTCCAATCTTTGTTGCATATTATCGTGGTAATCTCATATGTAATCCAATGTTTTAATCCTAATCATAGGCACATATCCAATATCATATGTGGGTGGAGCCACAAAATCACATAGGTTCCGATATTGCGTGTCGATGTTCATAATCTCACTGTTCTCTCATATCCATAATCATTAATATAAATGACAATTACGCATTCTGTAATCTGGTCCACATGGTCACTGGGTAGGTTGTTTTAAAACCAAAAGGTATCACACTTCAGCGTTCATTTTGCAACACACTGAAAATAAGTGTCGGTTGAATGTCAATTCCATTTTGGTATAAAAATAATCCATCTGATCAGCTGCAAATGTTTCTTTAATCATGTTTCACAAGGCTTTCAGTTCGTTAATTTAATTTCGATTGTTCTTTGTGCTTCAGTCATCTGCCTTCATTACGTAATAAACTGCTTAACAAAATGAGGACACAATAATGATTGATATATTGTGTCATAAATGTATATTCAGCACCAAGCGTTCATTGTGTCACTAAATAACGGAGTGACATCTGCGGCATAAATTGTTCATCTTTAGTACAGCTCCATCATCAAGTGTTCATCTTAAGAGATTAAGATAATATGTAGTTCCACCATGAAGTCCAATTGTTCATCCGTCCAGGTATGTTTTCTGCTTCAGGATTAGTAATTTTAATTGTTAATGGTTTAGTAGATTAGTAACAACTAAAAACTAATTATTCTACATACTCTATCAATTATTGTAAAACCTACGAGTACAATATAATTATTCACCACTTGCCCTAATTTGCAATTATCCTAAATAAAAGTATAACTATTCTAAGAGGGCCCTTTACCTAATTATTTATTTATGCATGCATACTATCTATGACTATCAAAAATCAAACTACAGATATCCAAGTACTCTCATAGAAATATTTAATTAATTTGAATTCAATATGCTGTACCCTACATTGTCTGCATTACATAACTTCATATAACATATTATACCCACTAGCATGACTAGTGTCTGTATACATTGCAGGTGCCTCGCTCTCTAATACTTAATCTCTGTCTTACTTTT